GTGGATGGATGGTTGGTGTTTGAGTAGATGGATGGTTTTTGGTTGAGTGGATGGATGGTGTTTGAGTTAATGGATGGTTGGTGTTTGAGTGGATGGATGGATGATTTGTGTTTGAATGGATGATGGATGGTTGGTGTTTGAATGGATGGATGATGGTTGGTGTTTGAATGGATGGATGGATGGATGGATGGATGGTTGGTGTTTGAGTTAATGGATGGTTGGTGTTTGAGTGGATGGATGGATGGTTGGTGTTTGAATGGATGGATGGTTGGTGTTTGAATGGATGGATGGTTGGTGTTTGAATGGATAGATGGATGGATGGATGGATGGTGTTTAGGTTGATAGATGGTTGGTGTTTGGGTTAATGGATGGATGGTTGGTGTTTGAGTAGATGTGTGGGTTGGTGTTCGATCCACGCAAATGAGATACGATGACATGCATCAACCAAGTGAGCGAGCCTGACCACCCGATCCCGTTAGTCACCTTTTACGACAAGCATAGTCGCCTTTTACGGCAAGCATGGGTTGCTGAAGACCTATTCTTACCCGGATCTTTACGGGTCGGATGGTTAAGTGGATGGATGGGTTGGTGGTAGAGTGGATGGATAGTTGCTGGTTACGGAGGGGTCAATTTACCAAAATTAAAGTATTGTTTTCACGAAATTCATAGCTTTCCTGAACTGAATATTACTTTGTTAATCGCCGGGTAAGAGCTACGGGTGTGTCTAACATACGTCAAATTGCAAATAGTGAATATACCTTCTTTTAATGCCAAAGTGCTCACGATCTTTGATGTATGTGTTATATAGTAAAGATTACACAACGCGATGGAGATGTGACGTCACCGCAATTAAACTCCTCGCCAGTCTTCCCTTACGTTGTGAAGAGTATCGGGTTAGAATCCCCCCTATCATATTAGATGTAAAGTATTCACAGCTAAAAACCATTTCCTAAAAAACGGTAAAGGATCTTGGCATTTATTAACCTACGGCCTTGACAGGATTTGCTTTATTTCTGGTGACCTTTTATGTCGGTGAAAAGGGTATCTAGCAGATATGCATTTGTCAAAGGTTAGACAATGAGAGCCTTCAGAAAAAATAATTATTGTAATAGAACTGATAGCGGCTGGGATCTCAATTATTTCAGGCAAGACTTCGCCCGACTTGTATTCGGAAACTTCAAAGATTAAATGAGTCTTCGTTTTTAGTGAGTATTTAAGATAAAATTTTATTCAAAGCCATCGTCATTGACTGTATCAACGATCAGGGTTGCTGTTGGTTCATTTTCACAGCATAGCTTCAGGCATGGGTTTGGTCCATATCCGCGATGGTCTGTATTACACAAGTGTTGTTCCGTGAAGATCCGGGGTAGAATTGGTCTTCAGCAACCCATGCTTGCCGTAAAAGGCGATTATGTTTGTCGTAAAAGGCGACTAACGGGATCGGGTGGCCAGGCTCGCTGACTTGGTTGATGCATGTCATCGTATCCCAAATGCGTGGATCGATGCTCATGTTGTCAATCACTGGATTGTCTGGTCCAGACTCGATTATTTACAGACCGCCGTCATATAGCTGGAATATTGCTGAGTGCGGTTTTAAACAACACACAACAACAGGATAGGTTTTGTTTATTGTGTATCTTTACAAAAGGTGGAACTCAGATTTGCCATTGATGTTGTATAATTAAGTAATATGGTAAATACTAATGTGATAAAACTCATATCGCTATGACTAAACAGTAACTTTTTATACTAAATTAGCAAAATGTAACATTATCAACAGTAGATTGACAAAGCCTGTAACTTTTAATTGAAACTATGTTATAATTGAATTGAGTTGTCCTGCAAACTGCACCGTTACACTTTAGGGGATTTTATATATTTTACGAGCGCTTCACTCGCAGATGATCTTTGGGTTACGAATCGTGTAAAGTTAAAACTTTGCTTTCATGTTTATGCATTCTATGCAGGAGAGAACGTGTTTTGCAATAGACGTAATTCACAGACATATGAGCTCATAAAGTTATGCCAAGCAGTTTACGACTAAAAATATTAATAAACTAAAACAACGTTTTACATGGATATTTGTGCCAAGAAGTGCTTGGATTGTGGAGATATTTTCAAGACCGGAGGGAAAAGATAACAAATGTAAATGCACTTATCAAGTTACGGTTATCACAACAGTATAATATCTTCAGGGCTCTACTTTTCCATATTTACAAATATACTGTATACTGTTAACTGTCGACAGGGGGATAAATACGGTATTAAGAAGTGGTGAGATAAATCTAGACTGCATGATGAATATGACATGCTCCTTCTTTCCTTGGTTGCGGCTTGTCAGAATAAATAAAGTGAAACTTCATACTCCGAAATCCATCATCTGCATACATTGTTTGTTTATTTGTTGTTTTATGCCGTACTCGGCAATTTTCCAGGTATATGGCAATGGCTTGTAAATAATAGAGTCTGACCTGAAAAAGCAGTGATAGATATTATGAGCAACGATCCCCGCCGTCAGGTACGATGACGTGCCAAGTCACCAAGTCACCAAGTCACCTAGTCACCTAGTCACCAAGTCACCTAGTCTGACCACTAGATCCATCACATCGCCTCATACGACCAGCATAGGTTGCTGGGATCCTATTGAAACCAGAATCATCATATTACCAAGATAGACTGCCGGGGAAATATAGTACACCGTGACTTATTTATTATTATTTATTAATTTAGTAGTGGGGCGATATTCCGATGCATCGGTGGATCGCGATTATTTGCTTCTCCATACAAGTATCGATCACAGTCGCACACTAAGTAAAAAAAATATCGATTCTTAAAGTAAACGTTTGCTTCAATAACTGTGTGGCAAGTATTTGGTCGTGCTGTCTATGAAAAAGATGACTTCAATACGCACCGCGGATAAGAGCACAGGCAAATATCGTGATACGTATCGGATCGTGAGCAAGGTATCGTGATACGTATCAATCAATAATTTTGTTCAGTAGAAAGACGTTTGACCCACGAACATAAAATGTCAAATTTGAAAATACAAAAAACCAAGTGTTGCAGCCAAACAATGTTACTATTGAAAGGAGCTGCGTAAAATTAAAGCATTCCTAATGTAATCTGAGTAAGACAATAAACGAGACATAGATTACTACATTGTAAGAAATGAATTAGTTATTGATGACTTCCGAAGGTAGATTTTTAAAATGTTTTTGACGAAGATCTTGATATGCTGGACATTTATGAGAAAGTGAAATGTATCTGCTACGTTATTTGAATTACATATTTTACATAAACGACCATGACGTGGAATACCATCACGTCTACCTATATTTGTGTTAATGGGTTGTTCGCCAAATCCTTAATAAAGTAATTTGAAGGTATCGGTATCGTGATATATATCAGATCATGGGCACGGTTTCGTGTTATATATTGGATAATGAGCACGGTTTCGTGACACGTATCGGATCATGAGCACGGTATCGTGATATATACAGGAACATGAGTGCGGTATCGTGATATATATCGGATCATGATATATATCGGATCCTGAGCACGGTATCATGATATATATCGGATCCTGAGCATGGTATCGTGATATATATCGGATCATGAGTGCGGTATCGTGATATATATCGGATCATGAGCACCGTGTCGTGATACATATCGGATCATGAGCACGGTATCGTGATATATATCGGATCATGAGTGCGGTATCGTGATATATAAAGGATCATGAGCACGGTGTCGTGATATATATCAGATCATGAGCAAGTTATCGTGATATAAATCGGATCATGAGTGCGGTGCCGTGATATATATCGGATCATGAGCACGGTGTCGTGATATCTATCAGATCATGAGCACGGTATCGTGATACATATCAGATCATGTGCACGGTATGGTGATATATATCGGATCATGAGTGCGGTATCGTGATATATATATCGGATCATGAGTGCGGTGTCGTGATATATATCGGATCATGAGTGCGGTGTCGTGATATATATCGGATCATGAGTGCGGTGTCGTGATATATATCGGATCATGAGCACGGTTTCGTGACACGTGAGCATTGTATCTTATACACCCATGTTTGATGGTTGCTAAAAATTAAATTAAAAAAATATGGTTTTTTTATGGTGGTTTATTTGATACGGCTATCACGGGAGATATTGTATGCACCATACCCGTGAGAATCCTCTAACAGGCCACTGTTTTCAGCCTAGAAACGTTTGTAAGTTTGTGGACAATTTTCAAGCGAATACTTTCTTTTGCCCGGCAGTTTGCCCGGTGTGTCTGGTGATGTGGGTCGGTCACCTGGTTGACGGCGTGTCATCGTGCCCCGATGTTGTTGCTCGTAGGTTCAATCACAGGTTATCCTGGCCCAGACTCGATCATTTAGAGGTCGTATTGATATAGCTGGAATATGCTGACTGTCAGGTCTAACGGTACTCACTCACTCACTCTAACGGTGTTATTAAGCTGAGAAGACCTGCCTTAAATGTTTTGACCAAGACATTCCTCATCCTCGATTATCCAGTGTACTATATCCCCATGATAAAATAGACATACACTGGCTCATCGAGGGTGGATATTTTGTGTAGAACCTGGTTATTTCAATTTGGACTGTGGATATATTTTAGATAAATAATTCAAGAACAAACAAAAACAGCTACTTGAGAGGAATGTCCAAGACGTAACCAACAAACAACCTTCATGTTGCCATGTGAATTATTCTCAGATTGTGACCCAAAATTGTCTATACTACTTCATTACTTTTGACCACTAATGTTTCAAACCATTTTTACAACAACCTTACCACAAAATTTCCTTTGCCTCTCTAGACAAAACAATCTGGAAGGTTAAACGGATATATTATTTTCGAACGAGGTTTGAACTCTCAGAAACAAGGAGCCAACTCGTTGTCCATGTCAATTTTGAGAGTAACTAGAGTTATACCCCTTTATTCAATATCGACCAATCAAATCAAAGTGTGCCCGTTACCGCCAAGTACGAAAACCAAAACATACTCAAACCGGAGAAGCCACATTCAAACAGACATTTCGCAAGGAAAATGCAACGGGAAGAATCGGAAAACAAATCTAAGAAAGGTTGTGAAACTGCATTACTTGTATTATAAACTCTGCATATTGGTAGCTGATTTAACCACAAATACTTGATTCCGACTAAACAGGAAATTATGCTCGAACTGAAGAGAAATAAAATATGTTAGATTCTTGCACGTTTACAGCTGTTTACTGTGTCTCGACCATGGAATAGTCATACGTGAATTATTCATGCTGCCAAGATGTCAGTCATGGCATATGAGCCACCTACAAAAACGTCTAAAAAAAAGGAAGACACAATACTGTTTCCCATGAATAAACATGATAGTGTCAGATTTGATTTGAAAGATGCGCTTTTCACTTCTCTCTCTTGCATCGTTTGACGTTACGCATCCACAGAAAGGCTTTCAGTAGCAATCATCATCATCATCAAACTCAAAGCAGTGATGTTAATGACACACTACCACTCAGATCACCGACTGGTTTGGTAACAAGTGTGAATATACACATGAAAGGAGCCGAAGATGGAAACTTGCGGAACACTTTCCCTTGATTCTGAATCATTTGAATCTCTGATTATCTTAGTTTGAGTGTTGCTCTTGGAGTGGAACCATGGAACAGTAACCATTCAGTAACACAACTTTTATAATAATATGGGTTGCTGAATTACAGCAGCCAATCTACCTAGATATTCCCTCAGGGGCTGTTAAAACTGTTCCTTTATATGTGGAAGAGTGCACTATATAGGTTTAACTAGGGCTGGGACGAGTCAAAATTTACTACCCGGGTACCCACCACGTTTTTTCCCGACCCTACCCGGGTACCCGCTGTAGGTCTCAAGAGATATAGCTACAAACTGTCCAATTGGGTAAAGTTTGACCATAGCCCTGGCAAAATTTATTTAGATACACATGTAAAACGAACTGGTCATGCATACGCTGAAGTTGACTGCATGAAGTTTTATCTTTTTTTTCTAAACATATAAAAGTCAGAAGGAATGCGTTCAGAAAGAAATGGCACCATTAGTGACTTGTAGTGTGACCATTGAGTTTTAGATAAATTTTGTCATTAAACAGTATATCCTGTGACTAACCTGCTAACCACAGTTCCGGGTAGTCATGTGGGTACCCGGGGCCTGCTCAGTATCCACCCGACCCGTGTACCCAAGTTACCCATCCCAGCCCTATTTTTACCCGTTATGATTTTTCCTGATGTATGAATGTTTTATATTTTAATGATAACCAGTAAGAAGTTGTGTTTTCTGTACATTTTAGAGCATGGTAAGCCATCAAGATTGACAATGTTATAACCAAACAACTCATGATGCAGGGTTTAATGTGACGCACAAATGTGCGTCCAGTATGCACAAACGTAGAGAATGGATACAGAAAAAATATACTGGTGCCTAGGGATGCACAATAATAATCTTTGTACCTACAGCATATCAACAGCATTTATGGGCATCTGTCACTTCACCCATCAAGCATGACCTCTGCCCACATGACCATTGATTCATTCCAGGCTCTAAAGTAATCAAAATGTACAGTAATTTAATTACTTTACAGGCCCCTAAAATTGCCTGCAACGACCCTTAAAATATATTATTGGGTTGGTTGGTTGGTTTGTTTTTAACGCCGCACTCTGCAATATTCCAGCTATATGATGGTGGTTTTATTGGGGATCCCTTGGAGCCCCACTTTGTAAGTCAAGGTAAACCCTGTATGATGTTATTGTCAAACAACCTGAGACTTTTTCAACCATGTTTATATATTTTCCTTTTTTAACATGTTAACATCCTATGTTTCATTTCTACAGAACTCTATCTCGCAAAATATGAGCAGTGGAAAAAGGAAAAGGAAAACTTAAAATGTGTAAAACCGTTACGTGAGAAAAATACCCACAACAAAACACTTCAGAAAAAAAAGGACAGGTAAATATTTATAACTTTGACTCATAAACCTTATTTCTTTTTTTTAGTTGGTCACGATGAGACTTTCTAAGTTGGTCACAGCCATATATATAAACCTGTCAACTGCAACATTAGCTCAGTGAGAAGACCTCCCTACCAAAGTTCCTGCTTTGAATAATTTAAAAAAAAGTTTTCAAGTTGGACTTGGCCGAAGAGATGATTGGTGTTAGTAGAAATACTGAATAACTTTCCGGTGACTTTATTGGTACACAGATTTGGGGGTGAAACATCTTGGTCACTAGGTGGGAAACAATATGAAATAATAAAGATATTTCAGTGTCATTTTGCTCTCCTCAATGTAATTTGAATATTTTGCTATGTGAGCAGTGTTGGGACTGGTAATGTATTATGTAGGGTGGGTAGGGGTGCACACATGCTGGCATGGCCATGAAAAAATGTTACATGAATTTTGGGGAGGCCATGAAAAATTGTCACATAAAATTGGGGGTGAGGTGGGGAGGAATCTGTCTTAAGACTGTATCATATTTTGGTTGTAAGGACTTGTTGTTACCATGGTTCAGGGTTCCCTCTAGGAATTTTCTAACATGGGCCCTTTGAAAATATGGGGCTAAAAGCACAAGGCCCCAACCTAGAATTATCCCTGATGGTTTTATACACACGTCATCTGATATGAATTGTGGCTGTTGCTCATGGTGTCTACTGCTGGCTGATGAATATACATATTTGACCTTCTTTTTTTGTCTCTTGTTTTAGCCAAGAAACAAGATCCCAATCAGCACGGACAGCACCCCAGGGTCAAATAAAAAACTCAACATCTGTGTCTCTTCAGTCAAGTGCTACAAAGTCTGCTGTCTCAGACAGGTTGTTCATGTGCTTCATGCCATACAGATGAATACTGCATTTGCTTGACATGTTTTCCCAAACCTGAAATGCATTCCTTTCTTATTAAAATGATTAGGATAGCTAGAGTCTTGCAATGCGATACTGGAAGTCTTGTTAATCCAGGCTTAATAACTTTGTAATTAAGGTACTAGAGACATGAAACTTTCTCTTTGAAGACCATATTAGAAGTCCTGTCATTAATCCAGTCTTTATAATTTTCTAATTAGGTTTCTGTTTAACATGTATGACTGGTTAACTTAGACATGTTTTAATTGCATGATGCAGGCATGTTTAGTATTTTCTTATGTGATAGCTAGTAATGGAATGTCGTAATGTAATACCAGCCGGAATGATTGTCAGGTCAGGCTATTGCAAAATTTAAACAAATTGCTCATCTTTAGGCATATTGTGTATTGTATAGTCATGCACAAATTTGTTATACATCATTACATCAGTGAATCAGGACATCCCTAGTGTATATTCTACTCCATCTTCCAGAGGCAAGGGCGTTAACTGACTATGAAAGTCCAGTTTCCACCCTTGCCGAACTAGGCTGAAATTTCCAGGCTCGATCGTAGCGCCACCAGTGTCCCTTGTATGTTCCTCCTATTGACCAATAAGATTCCATCTCTCATATCACTTGCATTTGCTTCAAACAAAACGGTGGCGCCCAGGCAAGACAATCTGCTCAATAGTCAAGATCTGTATTGTAATAAAATAGGTCTTACCCCAAAGAATTTGCAAAATATCTATCAACGCCCAGTTGGGGGTACACATGCTTTGCAATCCTTCAGTCGACCGACATCTGCACGTTGAAATCCGTGTTGTTTATTATCTGGATGTCTAGTTCGTTATGCGATTTTGATTGGACTATGCATAGACTCGTAAGTCCAGCCAAAATGTAACTCCATAATTGCAGCCTAGTTCGGCAAGGGTGGAAACTGGTCTTTTACAGTCAGTTAACTTGCTTACCTCGGGAAGATGATGCTTCTTTTAATACCAATGATTCTATTTTCTTGTTTTTTTAAATAGAAATGTCAAAGAAGTCGTAAAAGAGGTTGAAAAAAAGTCAGATGCAGCTCAACACAAACCCAGTGTGAAGAATGAGAAGCAGAGAGTCATCGAGGATGGGCCAAATATGGAGGACAGGTCAGAGGGGGTAGTTCAGCATCAGGATGAGCCTTGTGGGGGAACACAACCTCACACAGATGAACCACCATGTCCTGTCGCCATGGACACCGACCAAGTTACCCATCCTAAACCTGTACCCCTTGAGACGCATGAGTTTGATCTTCCCAAACCTGTCCACATTGAGACGAATGTGCCGAAGACTCAAGATCAGCTTACCATGAGGTGAATAGGCACATACTTATTTATAAAGATAACACAATGTATTAAAGAATGAAACTGATAGCGATGTCAGCAGTTTGCTTAGTAGACCATGGTAGACAAATTATTCTTAATCTGAAGTTTTTTTTACAAAACATAGAGGGGATATTGTACTATGGTACCATTGTGTAATCAGCAGCCGTTGTCCAAATTATACCACAAAATAAGTTAAAGAACACCCGATATTACTGCAGTTAATCTGTTAGATCATGACAGATTACTGGTATCTTTAGTCATGACCCGAGAATATCCGGGGTAGAATAGGTCTTCAGCGATCCATGCTTGCCGTAAAAGGCGATTATGTTTGTTGTAAGGGGCGACTAACAGGATCAGGTAGTCAGGCTCGCTGACTTGGTTTATGTATGTCATCGTATCCCAACTGTGTGGATCGATGATCATGATGTCAATCACAGGATTGTCTGGTCCAGACTCGATTATTTACAGACTGCCATGATATAGCCGGAATATTGCTGAGTGCGGCGTTAAACAAAAAACAAACAGTAACATGAAAGAATCAAGTGTTCTCTAACTTCTTTTGAGGAGTATATGTTGAAGAAGTGTTTATTACTGGTTTTAATGTCATCCCTTCAGGTGAACTTTGACCCTCCTTTGCCTCCTCCATCTTTGACTCAACAATATGCAAGAATTAGATTACACTACGATGCACACTTTATGGGGATTGTGTCTTGTTTGTGATTTGTGTGGCTATTTCTTTTTAAAGTGTGTACATATTCCAGAGTTAAGTTGCTCTTTGCTGATTTTCATTGGTAGGCCTCTCATGACAAAAAGAGATACCGGGGGTACCTTGTGCTGACACCATGTACTGACACCATGTACTGACACCTTGTACTGACACCTTGTACTGACACCTTGTACTGACACCTTGTACTGACTCCTTGTACTGACGCCATGTACTGACACCTTGTACTGACTCCTTGTACTGACACCATGTACTGACACCTTGTACATGTTGTACTGACTCCTTGTACTGACACCTTGTACTGACACCTTGTACTGACACCTTGTACTGACTCCTTGTACTGACACCATGTACTGACACCTTGTACATGTTGTACTGACTCCTTATACTGACACCATGTACTGACACCTTGTACATGTTGTACTGACTCCTTGTACTGACAACTTGTACTGACACCTTGTACATGTTGTACTGACTCCTTGTACTGACACCTTGTACTGACTCCTTGTACATGTTGTACTGACTCCTTGTACTGACACCTTGTACTGACTCCTTGTACATGTTGTACTGACTCCTTGTACTGACACCTTGTACTGACTCCTTGTACTGACTCCTTGTACTGACTCCTTGTACTGACACCTTGTACTGACTCCTTGTACATGTTGTACTGACTCCTTGTACTGACACCTTGTACTGACACCTTGTACTGACTCCTTGCACTGACTCCTTGTACTGACTCCTTGCACTGACTCCTTGTACTGACTCCTTGTACTGACTCCTTGTACTGACTCCTTGCACTGACACCTTTTACTGACACCTTGTATTGACACCTTGTACTGGCTCCTTGTACTGACACCTTGTACTGACACCTTGTACTGACACCTTGTACTGACTCCTTGAAGAATACTTTTTCACATTGTATTTTCATAATCCATTGCAACAATCCAATGTACATCCTTGCCATGATAATCACTAATATTTTTATACCAAAATCGTTCCAAAAATTAATTGGAAAGAATTTATCACCTGAGCAGTAATGTTTCAGGACACAGAGATAAACATACATACAGATATGTTGCGATATTATGATTGTTATTGTGATTCTTTTCTTTTCAGGGACAGACTTTCTCATTGGAAAATGAACAGAAAAGGCACAGACGAGACTAAAAACATGTAAATATTTAAGAAATTGTTGAATCATGCTCGTGACTAAACATGTTAAATCACTATGAACCTGAATGACATTTAGTCAGTTTGAATTATATTTCTTTGTTTTCATCTGAATGAACCCCCCACAAGAGTTGGTTATTTGTATTGTACCGGTAGTTGTAACGGGAGATCTAGGATACTGCACACTCTGAAGTGACCTTGAGTATCCAGTGTATTATGTCTCCATTCTATAATGATATGTACCATGGACCCAGGCCCTACAACAGCCTGGTTGCAAGATCAGTACTAACAGCAGGGTGCAAATTACACTCCTGAAACCCTGCCCTAAGTGATAAGACAGATAAAGATGGTGACATCACTTAAGGATTGTAGTTGTATTTGATGACATCCATCAGCTGATAGTGCCACATGAGCAAATTCCATGATTCCAAGCGCTTCATGGTAAATTTGCACACTGTCTTCATCAGTGGATGAATGTCAACATATACAACTTCAATCCTTATATTGACAGATACATTAATCATAACAAACCAATCCATTTAAACACCAAATAATTATTTGAAGCAAACTATATAATTTCGGAGAGTTGTTTTTGGTGTGACATCATCTGTCCCCCAAAATTCATTGGGAGTTGCCTCCCTTTGTCTTACAAACTTAATAAAATGACAGCTCCTTTCACTTGAAATTGTAAGTTGAACCCAGTAAAGTTGGAATCAGAATGAAATCCAGACCCGGTTGAAAATGGATTAATATGAACATTCTGTGAAGTATGTGTGTGTGTTTGAGTCCTACTAAGGCTAGATGAGCTGCTGATGACAGGGATTAATGCTTCAGGCGGCGTGGTTGGATTTCTTGATGCAATACATTGACAGTGTGAAGCTTAGATATTGCTTTCTTGTAGTAAGTATACTAACCACGAATGGACACTTCATTTTAGTGACCTGCTATATACATGATCTGTCTGGAAGGAATTGAATGATGATACAGTCCCAATTTGACATTATTTTTAGACATTGAGGAATTCCCCTACTTTAGTTCTGTATGTCTCCGTTCAATTGACAACCTAGTCACAAGACATAGTGACGTTCATTGGAAAACATCTGACAGCTAGCTTGGTAGTGTTCATCTAGGGGAGGTCACCCGCACTGTCTATATTTCTGATATGAAGTTTGGATGGCGAGGTCCAAGGATATTGATCATAACTGAATGGAGATATGGTACCCTGGATATCATAGTATCCCAGCTGCGTAAATCGATGCTCATGATGTCCAAGCACAATTACAGATAGTCATATAGCTGGAATATTGCTGAGTGCGGTGTTAAGCAACAAACCAAAAGAATATCTGTTACTGACTCATTGACCTGTAATTTATTCTCAGCTCCAAGACTAGGGTGATGAAAAGACCTTCCATACACTCTGCCCCAAATTCAGTACAGAAGAAGGAAGTGTCCTCAAAACTTCACATCATTCCCAAACGCTTGGAAAGAAGAGCTACGTTCTCTGTTCCAACCTCCAAACCCCTGCCAGGCACCAGGGCAGGACCTTCACATCGTGGAATGGTCAGACCCTCTCAGACCAACGAAAATGTCAAGAAGGTGGCACCAAAGGTTGCCAAAGTGTCAGTAAGGAAACCTGTCTTAGTGGTAGGTGCACCCAAGCAACGGTCACAGCCTGGCAGCACAATGAGAAAGGCACTTCCCCACACCGATATCAAGCGTCACAGTCTTGGCACGAGACGGAGACTGTCGGCAGGTATGTCCAAGAGACCCGTGGGAATCTTGAAGAGGAAGTCCTGCGTGCCTGCTCTGGCTGTGAAGTCGGAGACAGATATCAAGACTCCCTCTTCATCTGTGGAAACAGCAAGCTCTTGTGGGCAGTCCCATGTGAAGTTCCTCACCCCTTCCCAGACACCGGCACAGCAGCATGCGACATTCAGGAAGACCCCAGTGAAGACAAAGGATGCTTGTAGTAGTGACTCAATGAGGTATTTACAGTGACATCAATGTTAGAAATGATTCTTGTTGAAATTTTATGCGTAGGGCTCTGTTTCACAAAGTGATCGTAACGCTACGACTATTGTAACTCCCATAGTTTAACTTACTTACGACAGTCGTAACGGCACGATTTGGCCCAGGCCCCAATAAAATAAGCCTTTGTTTTGGTATTTCCCTGACAAAAATGATTTCGCCAGCATTTAATTAAACATTTTTTTATGCATATATATGCCCCTAATCACCATGCCTGTCAGTCTGAAATCATTTGATGGCCCCCCCCCCCTGTTTATAATGCCTACCTACCCAATTTCATATTGCACAAAACATATTATCACTAATGACCGTGTCATGTGGTATTGAGTTCTGACAACTGTATTTTGGCACAGTGAAAGTTAAAATTATTTCTAGGATCCAATCCAATTTAACATTTTTCACCCAATCAAATTGCAGCACATACTCCCATCCCTTTTATGTTTCGTACACATGCACAGATATTAGGGGTGAAATGATACAGCAAGTTCACGATAGGATACGATATGATACAATATGTATCATAATACATAGGCCACAATACGATAAATATCAAGATGTGCAGATTTACTTCAAATTGCGTGGAAACTTCTTACAATAAATATTTCAGAGCAGGTTTAAAAGGAAAAGCTAGTTGTTCATAGCGGCTATTTTCAGTAGTGAACTTCAAATGCTAATTTCAATACATTTTGCGATGTTTCACTGACCAAAACGCTAAGGTCATTAAACGTGTAATAAGTGATTTATTTTAGCAAGTTTATTGTCTTGTATCGATGCAGAACAAATCATATTGTGTATCATATCGTCACATGAAAACTGACAATGCACCACTGCACCGATGTATCGTTTCACCCTTAACAGGGGGGCACGGGTGGCCCAGTCGTCTAAGGCACCACAATTCGCTGTGCAGAGTTGCGTCCCTTGGGCACGCCAGAAACCTATGATTGTGGCTTCGAATCCTGGTTCGCCCCGATTATGTTTCTAGGTTTGTCAGCATCATACCCGTGCTCGTGGGTATCACCGAAGTGGTAAACGTCTTAGACCTGCATCACTTCGGGCTTTCCTCCCACATTAAGCTGACACGCCGTGATATAACTGGAATACTGTTAAAAGCGGTGTTAAACCCAACTCACTCACCCACTCACTCACCCTTAACAGATATTATAGATCATTTCATGGACTTGTGGCATTCCTGTTTCTGTTTTTGTTCAAGAATAGGACTTAGGAGAAACATGGATGTACTATGACAGTTTGTGCAGCGTAAATTCAACTCACTTGCATTTTAATCTGAACAAGTTGCTTGGTATTTGCGGCTACTGGTTGAAGAAGTTGATTATGCTGTAGTTTAGACTGGGGGGGGGACTGTCAAACTGCTATGATTGCTCTGAGAGTGCTATGTTCAGAGACAAGGCATACACTTTGGTGATATGCTGCTGACATGCTGCCTTCTCAGTGTGAAGGTGTCATCCTACATGTGACCCGTGAAGATAGGGGTTGATGTAGGCCATCAATCCCAATTGCGTGGATCGATGCTCATGATGTCAATCACTGGATATCACTGGATTGTCTGGTCCAGACTCGATTATTTACAGACTGCTGTCATATAGCTTGAATATTGCTGAGTGCGGTGTTAAACAACAAACCAACCAACCAACATTTACATGTTGACAGACAAAAGTTAAACTCATGGTTGGAAGCAAAGGGTAAGACTCCCTCCAAGTTCCGTCACCTCATGTGCTTTGACGCTGCCATGTCGGAGAGGAAGAAGCAGGACTCCCAGATGAAGAGATCCATCACAGTGGAGGAGCTGTCATTACAGGTACTGGAGCTCACTTTACCTGTATACTATCATCATATACCAATATACTAGGGATGGGTATTGGAAGATTAAAGTGTATCACAATGTTTTACAGCGATACATATCACAATATATTGTATAATTCAAAGTTTTGAATTCAGAAGCAATTTGAAACATCAATGCAGGAATTGAAGTTCATAAATGGAACAAAACAAAATGCTGGATCAGCATAATGTTTACTCATTCAACAAATACACAAAGATGCACGCTCTGGGACAGTGATGACTTGGTGTTACACCACTGCCACAGAAGAACTCCATTTTGAAGGCAACTATGCTTGTCGTAAAAGGCGACTAACGGGATCAGGTGGTCAGGCTCGCTGACTTGGTTGATGCATGTCATTGATCTCAATTGCGTGGATCGATGCTCATGATATCAATCACTGGATTGTCTGGTCCAGACTTGATTATTTACAGACCGCCGTCATACAGCTGGAATATTGCTGAGTGTGGCGTTAAACAACAAACCAACCAACCATTTTGAAATTATGCAAACATTTTGAAGGAACATGTATTTGGCAAGTGTATAACATTAAACACATGATAAAAAAATCACTATTTGATATACCCGGATATACCAAGCATTGAAACATGATATTGTGATACGTATAATGGAAAGAATGAACCTCAATTTACCGATATACCAATAATACCATGCACCTTTGCAATATACATTGAGAAAAAGCAACAAACAAAATTGTGGATTATGTAAGATGCTAAACTATACACAGTATATTGAAATTCATGCCACATCTGTTTGATATTCATGCCACATCTGTGCTCTTGACCAAAGACAAAAGCATCTACACCCTGCCTTACTTTCTTCTTTCCTCCCACATATATCTCACATTTCCTCCCACATATGGGGGGCACGGGTGGCCCAGTCGTCTAAGGCACCACAATTCGCTGTGCAGAGTTGGGTCCCTTGGGCACTCCAGAAACCTATGATTGTGGGTTTGAATCCCGGTTCGCCCCGATTATGTTTCTAGGTTTGTCAGCACCATACCCGTACTCGTGGGTTTCACCGAAGTGGTAAACGTCTGAGACCTGCATCACTTCGGGCTTTCCTCCCACATTAAGCTGACACGCCGTGATATAACTGGAATACTGTTAAAAGCGGCGTTAAACCCAACTCACTCACTCCTCCCACATATATCTCACATTTCCTCCCACATATATCTCACATTTCCTCCCACATATATCTCACATTTCCTCCCACATATATCTCACATTTCCTCCCACATATATCTCACATTTCCTCCCACATATGTCTCACATTTCCTCCCACATATATCTCACATGACTATAGTCATATAAAAAGATCACAACAGATTAACTACAGTCATATGAAAACATCACGACAGATGATAACTATAGTCATATGAAATCATCACAAAAGATTAACTATAGCCTCATAAAAAATAGGGGCGGTTGGGTAGCCTAGTGGTTTAAGCGTCCGCTTGTCACGCCGAAGACCCGGGTTTCGATTCCCGACATGGGTACAATGTGTGAAGCCCATTTCTGGTGTCCCCCGCCTTGATATTGCTGGAATATTGCTAAAAGCGTAAAACCATACTCACTCACTCACTCACTCACTCACTCACTCACTCACTCACTCACTCACTCACTCACTCACTCACTCACTCACTCACTCACTCAAAAAAATCAGGGGTTCTGTAATGTCTTTTGAGTAGTATATTCACTGACATTCTGAACACAAATCATTGCCTATTCATGTGTCCTGTTACTTAGACAGCTGGAAGTGTAATGTCGTTATACAAAATAGTTCATTGCTCTGAAAGTATGGAATTTTGTTACCACTATACAGCAAAAGAAGATGGCCAAAGAAGACAATGTCTGCCAGAACCTGACATCTCTGTTCGAGGCTTCTGCTGTGGAGGACAAGAAGACAAGATCCCGCCAGGTTGTGGAGAAGGGCGTCATTGAGCAGCTGGATGCCATACTCCAGGAGTGCCACCATCTTGTTGAGTCTGTGAGTTTCCACAAGGGGATTCGGGGACAGAATCGGTCCCTGTTCTTTCCACGGGATTCTGGGTAATATGGGTGATATATACTCCATACATCTTTGTGAATTATGGGGTTGAATGGGTCCTCGATACTCCATACTACCCTTGGGTATCCTTGGGCAGAATGGGGACTCAGTACTCAATACTTCTGTGGTGATCCTGGGCCCACTTGCACATAACGATCTTAGCGCTAAGATGATCTTAACTCCCATACTTTAACATAGGCTTACAATAGCCGTAGAGCTAAGATCGCTTTGTGCAAGTGGGCCCTGGTGCAGAAGGGGTCCAGATTCATCCCTAGCATTCCATATTCCAGGGATTCCAGGGAAGAATAGTTCCCTTGTATTCGACACCAGGTTTGGAATTCTGGGCCAGAATATGTTCCAGGTAAAGATTCCAGGGTTGAGTAGGTCCCAAGGTTCCATTATCCTGTGGGTAATTGTAAGACAGAATAGCTTCCAGATATTCAGTGCTTGTAGAAGTGACTTAATGTAGCCTGGCGACAGTGTAACAGAAGTGTGGTGGATCCTAGAATACGTTGTTTGTTGCCTGTAGGGTTGCCCGACGGACACACTACTAGCCTGGCTACATTGTATCAGAAGTGTGGGAGTTCCTAGCATATGTTGTTTGTTCCCTCTAGGGTTGCCTAATGGACATGTTACAAGCCTGGCGACAGTGTAACAGAAGTGTGGTGGATCCTAGAATACGTTGTTTGTTGCCTGTAGGGTTGCCCGACGGACACACTACTAGCCTGGCTACAGTGTAACAGAAGTGTGGGAGTTCCTAGCATATGTTGTTTGTTTCCTCTAGGGTTGCCTAATGGACATGTTACAAGCCTGGCGACAGTGTAACAGAAGTGTGGTGGATCCTAGAATACGTTGTTTGTTGCCTGTAGGGTTGCCCGACGGACACACTACTAGCCTGGCTACATTGTAACAGAAGTGTGGGAGTTCCTAGCATATGTTGTTTGTTTCCTCTAGGGTTGCCTAATGGACATGTTACAAGCCTGGCGACAGTGTAACAGAAGTGTGGTGGATCCTAGAATACGTTGTTTGTTGCCTGTAGGGTTGCCCGACGGACACACTACTAGCCTGGCTACATTGTAACAGAAGTGTGGGAGTTCCTAGCATATGTTGTTTGTTTCCTCTAGGGTTGCCTAATGGACATGTTACAAGCCTGGCGACAGTGTAACAGAAGTGTGGTGGATCCTAGAATACGTTGTTTGTTGCCTGTAGGGTTGCCCGACGGACACACTACTAGCCTGGCTACATTGTATCAGAAGTGTGGGAGTTCCTAGCATATGTTGTTTGTTTCCTCTAGGGTTGCCTAATGGACATGTTACAAGCCTGGCGACAGTGTAACAGAAGTGTGGTGGATCCTAGAATACGTTGTTTGTTGCCTGTAGGGTTGCCCGACGGACACACTACTAGCCTGGCTACATTGTATCAGAAGTGTGGGAGTTCCTAGCATATGTTGTTTGTTTCCTCTAGGGTTGCCTAATGGACATGTTACAAGCCTGGCGACAGTGTAACAGAAGTGTGGTGGATCCTAGAATACGTTGTTTGTTGCCTGTAGGGTTGCCCGACGGACACACTACTAGCCTGGCTACATTGTATCAGAAGTGTGGGAGTTCCTAGCATATGTTGTTTGTTTCCTCTAGGGTTGCCTAATGGACATGTTACAAGCCTGGCGACAGTGTAACAGAAGTGTGGTGGATCCTAGAATACGTTGTTTGTTGCCTGTAGGGTTGCCCGACGGACACACTACTAGCCTGGCTACATTGTATCAGAAGTGTGGGAGTTCCTAGCATATGTTGTTTGTTTCCTCTAGGGTTGCCTAATGGACATGTTACAAGCCTGGCGACAGTGTAACAGAAGTGTGGTGGATCCTAGATTACGTTGTTTGTTGCCTGTAGGGCTGCCCGACGGACACACTACTAGCCTGGCTACAGTGTAACAGAAGTGTGGTGGTTCCTACCTTGTGTTGTTTGTTCCCTGTAGGGTTGCCTGACAGACACACTACTAGTCTGGCTACAGTGTAACAGAAGTGCGGTGGATCCTAGAATACGTTGTTTGTTCCCTGTAGGGTTGCCTGACAGACACACTACTAGCCAGGTCACAGTGTATCAGAAGTGTGGTGGTTCCTACCTTGTGTTGTTTGTTCCCTGTAGGGTTGCCCGACAGACACACTTCTAGCCTGGTTACAGTGTAACAGAAGTGTGGTGGTTCCTACCTTGTGTTGTTTGTTCCCTGTAGGGTTGCCCGACGGACACACTACTAGCCTGGTTACAGTGTATCAGAAGTGTGGTGGTTCCTACCTTGTGTTGTTTGTTCCCTGTAGGGTTGCCTGACAGACACACTACTAGTCTGGCTACAGTGTAACAGAAGTGTGGTGGTTCCTACCTTGTGTTGTTTGTTCCCTGTAGGGTTGCCTGACAGACACACTACTAGTCTGGCTACAGTGTAACAGAAGTGCGGTGGATCCTAGAATACGTTGTTTGTTCCCTGTAGGGTTGCCTGACAGACACACTACTATCCTGGCTACAGTGTAACAGAAGTGTGGTGGTTCCTACCTTCTGTTGTTTGTTCCCTGTAGGGTTGCCTGACAGACACACTACTAGTCTGGCTACAGTGTAACAGAAGTGCGGTGGATCCTAGAATACGTTGTTTGTTCCCTGTAGGGTTGCCTGACAGACACACTACTAGCCAGGTCACAGTGTATCAGAAGTGTGGTGGTTCCTACCTTGTGTTGTTTGTTCCCTGTAGGGTTGCCCGACAGACACACTTCTAGCCTGGTTACAGTGTAACAGAAGTGTGGTGGTTCCTACCTTGTGTTGTTTGTTCCCTGTAGGGTTGCCCGACGGACACACTACTAGCCTGGTTACAGTGTATCAGAAGTGTGGTGGTTCCTACCTTGTGTTGTTTGTTCCCTGTAGGGTTGCCTGACAGACACACTAATAGTCTGGCTACAGTGTAACAGAAGTGTGGTGGTTCCTACCTTGTGTTGTTTGTTCCCTGTAGGGTTGCCTGACAGACATGTTACAAGCCTGGTTACAGTGTAACAGAAGTGTGGTGGCTCCGTACTTATGTTGTTTGTTCCCTGTAGGGTTGCCTGACGGACATGTTACAAGCCTGGTTACAGTGTAACAGAAGTGTGGTGGCTCCGTACTTATGTTATTTGTTCCCTGTAGGGTTGCCCGACGGACACACTCCTGGCCTGGCTACAGAGCATCTACGACAACATCCCCCAGGCCCGCCACTACACCCCCTTCTACAGGTGTAAGGTGGACACGGTCAAGCGACACGGATGTCCAGCGGACACCATTGAGGTCATGGCTCAGGCCATCAGCAACTCGGCACAGGTCAGTGTCTCAAGCCAATCATTAACACTTCATTTACCAATTTCTGGATATAATTGCTAAGTTTATCATGCACTTAATTGATTTATTAATTCCCCGTGAAGAGATCACCCGTTTAATAAACATACAGCTGTATTACACAATGTGTAATACCAAAAAGCGTGCTTATGTACTGTCGGAACACGTTTCACGAACAAATATTGAAAGCTCTCAACATCCCTTGGCTTATTCAACGACATTGCGTGTGGAGTTGATAGATCACGGCGAGGAGCTTATGCACACTCAATGACCCCAGCAACCTTGTTGCTAGGCTGACGTCACATGGCATTGTTTTGCCGATGGATCTTGCAACAAGATTCCAAAAAATTATCGGGTATTGTGACGTTATTGTTAACTTTGATGTGCAAGGCCCGTTCCACAAGGCGATCATATTGAAGCGCAACGACAGTCGTTAGTCTAAGTTAAAGTATGTGAGTTGTGATAGTCTTAGCCCTACGATAATTTGTGAATTCTAAAGGTGGACCGTTGTGTGGTATTAAATTCATACGTTTCAACTTTTGATGTGTTTAAAGTATTATTCTGTTAAACTCAATTGGACTATGCCATGGATTGTGTTGGTGTCAGCCTATTCATACTCAACAGTATAATTCTAAAAACGTTATGAATGGCAAATAATAAATAAAATACTAAACTCGCTCCTGTGTAAAACCAATTTTATGAAACTCGTAAATAGTTGTGGTATCTGACTCGCTTTCGCTCGTCAGATACCACAACTATGCACTTGTTTCATAAAATTGGTATTACACGGGAGCTCGTTTAGTATTCTATATATATTGTCTGTAAGCCATTGATAACACGTATGAAGAATTCTTGTTGAATACTTCTATTACCAACTCTCAACACAGTGACAGCTGACATTAGTCCCTATAAAAAATGATAAATAACCTGAGGGGTTATGTGTCTAGTGTTGTTAGCACCCTACACATGCATCACTTTGGGCTTTCCTCCCTTTAAGCTGACATGCCATGATATAACTGGAATACTGTTCAAAGCGGCATTAAGCCCAACTCACTCACTCTCTCACTACAGCAATGACTGGACATGTCTTTCAACTGACATCAAGTCCAAGAATTACCTTTAACAGTTTTTGTTTACACTGAACCTATGTACTGATATGATCTTGTGATTGAACCAGGGCTGTGGAGTAGCCAGTGTATGTTATTTAAGAATTGACGTCAATATTTTTTGTGTTTATAAATTTGAAAACCTGTGTGCACCTGGTTTTACGGTAATAACTCCATAAATGCCAAACAATATTGATGTCGGTTCTTATAAATAAATATGTCAACAATAAAAACTGTAGACAACAATACATAATCTATGACATTCAGCGTAATAATGCAACACAAGCCCCACCCATTCCATTATCAGCCAATCAGGAAACAGTCTGTATTTTTGGCTTATTGAATATGGGATATTGCTTGCTTAGCCAATCAGTTGGCATGGAATCACTTGCAATATATTTGTTGACTCGTACACAATGACCTGACTGATGATGTCTGCAGCCTCCGTCTGACCTGGCAGCCCTCCACACAAGCATCGTCACCGAGATGGTGACCATGGCGACCAACCAGGCTGTCATCATAGACACAGCGAAACAAGGAGGACCAGAGGGAGCAGATAGGACAGGGCAGGACACACTTGAGGACATGACCTCACAGGATGACAATGATGGGGTATTGGATGAGCTGAAGCAGATGAAACGTGTGAGAACGGAGGATGGGGCTGTGGAGGACATGACCTCACAGGACGATAACGATGGTGTATTGGATGAGCTGAAGCAGACGAAGCGTGTGAGAACGGAGGATGGGGCTGTGGAGGACATGACCTCACAGGACGACAATGATGGTGTATTTGACGAGCTGAAGCAGACGAAGTGCGTGAGAACGGAGGAGAGTGCTGTGGAAGCACCTTTCTCCATACATTACTGTGTTGCTAATGTCACTCCCTTCAAGAAGAGGTAAGCAGCAGGGCAAGAGGGATTCTCTTTCATGTATGTAAATTGTACTTAAGATATAAATGACGAGGGGAAGTTGTTTATCGTACATTGTAAGATAGCTACACAATAAATCGCAAAGATCAATGACGAACAAAGCCTGGTTAATTTCATGGAGATTCGAACATGCTCTCGCAACTTGATGACGTGGTATATATGACAACATGTCTTTTAGTTGTTCCCCTTTGATGTAGTTGGGGAAACTCAGATATACGCGATGGCCGAATGATCGCATCCCAAAGTATGAGTGATATGACAATCGGTACTGGGAGAAAAGGTACCGGTAATCAACGTGAGGATTGTGAGAATATGCGGTAAATACCCACCTGTGCAGAGATTGTGACTTGTCTAACATTGCCGAGGTCGGATACTATTGAGGGAGTCATCACGATTTAAACATATTTAAATATTTTTTAAACTTGTACATTTTATCATCATCCTTAAACAGGCTGTACATAATGTGAATATCTCATAAGGGGCCCTTATGGTTTATTCTCCCTGCAGTGTTTTCTTCAGGTAAACAACTCTCACTTATCGTGTATTTTTTAAATAAAAAAATGCAGAGAGAATATACCTTTTTGGGCGCAGCTCCAAGTTGTTTAAACAATGACCACAATGAGATGAGATAGCAACATTCTTTACAGCCACCCTAAGGGTGTTAATTTACAAGCTTTAAAAATATTTACCTTATTTGAATTATGATGACTGATGTCGGATAAATCTAGTTTATTGTCCCCCGCCGCGCGAAAGCGCGAAGCGGGGGATATAGTATTCACGACCGTCCGTACGTACGTCCGTACGTCCCACCTGTTTGTTGCCGCGATATCTCAAGAACTAAACACTGGATTGTCTTCATATTTGGAACTATGGTGTATATACAGACTCCGCAGACACCAGTCGGTTTTGGTGACCTTGACCCCATTTTCAAGGTCACAGCAGGCAAATCTGCTTTTGGAGTTAGAAAACGGTGTTGCCGCGATATCTCAAGAACTAATCGCTGGATTGTCTTCATATTTGGAACTATGGTGTATATACAGACACCGCATACACCAGTCGGTTTTGGTGACCTTGACCCCATTTTCAAGGTCACAGCAGGCAAATCTGTTTTTGGAGTTGGAAAACGGTGTTGCCGCAATATCTCAAGAACTAATCGCTGGATTGTCTTCATATTTGGTACTATGGTGTATATACAGGCGGGGGACATTTCGTCACTTTGTGACAAATACTTGTTAAAAGGTGGTTTAAGTTCAGTATTTCCTGAATATTTTCACAAATCTCATGGCCATTATCTGTACCTTTTCTCCCTTAACAACTTGCCATATCTTGCCCACTTTTATATGCATCATTTGGCCATTGAGTTTATTTAGCTACCAGCTACATATAAGAGGAACAACTCACTACCCTTTCAAAAATAGCGTTCTACAATTTGCAACATCAAGGTGAGAGCAAATGTTCATATCTCCAGAAATGACATCAGGACAGAATAATGTTTTATCATAAAAACAGCCATACCTCGTTCTTCATTGTTCTTTGCGATTTATTGCACAGCTATGTTATATTGTGTATAAAGAAGTTGTTATCAATAAATTGTGTCTACTTTGTCAACTTCTAAGAGATGCCTATCAAACAATATAAGAGGGATTTGTGGTAAAATTAAAAAAATTATATTTGGTGTTATCAATTCAGACTTAACGTAATTATATGACTTTATGTATGTTACGCTTAGATCTGATGAGAATGATTTTGGCCATTATTGTACAGTTCTCACTATTATTTGTAGCCACTGTAGTAGTTGTAGCATTCTTTGGTCAGTAGGAAGACATCTTGGGGTTGTGTAATGTTTTATTCTGTCCGCACCCCAGAAACCTATGATCTTGATTTTGAATCCTCATTCGCACCGATTATGTGTCTAGATTTGTTAGCACCATACTCATCACATCACAAGCTGGCACGCTGTGATGTAACTGGTATACTGTTCAAATGGCGTTAAACACAAATTCACTCTTACACACTCACACTATTCTGTCCACAGAAAACGTGCAGCTAGTATCAGCACCCCTCAACCTACTCAGTCAGTTGTGACACCTGTCAGGCGATCAACTCGCAGAAGCGTCCAAAATAACGTCACAGACTCAGAGAAGATTATCCGATCAATCAGCGACCTATCAGAGCAGGAGAAGACCACTGCCCTCTTCAGACCAAATCATGCACTAGATGATGTTCTGGAAAAGTTTGAATAAATTTGATCACAGTAACTTTATGTTGTGCCAATACTGATGTCCGGGGAGACTGATGCTGCTGTTCCCTCTCCTTGGCTTGGACGAGATATTCTAGTAATGTGTGTGTGTGTGTTTAACACCACACTCAGCAATATTTCAGTTTTATGATGGCGGCCTGTAACTAATCAAGTCTGGACTAGACAATCAAGCCATTCATATTGTGAGCCGAGATCCACGTTATTGGGGTACAATGACATGCAATCAAGCAAGACACTGTGCCTGTCTACCTGTCCATTTAATTACCTTTACGACCAGCATAGGTTGCTGGGGACCTGTTCTAACCTGGGAGCCCCAGGGGGTTACGACCAGCATAGGTTGTCTGGGGACCTGTTCTAACCTTGAAGCCCACAGGGTTACGACCAGCATAGGTTGTCCTGGGACCTGTTCTAACCTTGAAGCCCACTGGGTTACGACCAGCATAGGTTGCTGGGGACCTGTTCTAACCTGGGAGCCCCAGGGGGTTACGACCAGCATAGGTTGTCTGGGGACCTGTTCTAACCTTGAAGCCCACAGGGTTACAACCAGCATAGGTTGCTGGGGACCTGTTCTAACCTGGGAGCCCCAGGGGGTTACGACCAGCATAGGTTGCTGGGGACCTGTTCTAATCTGGGAGCCCCACAGGGTTAAGACCAGCATAGGTTGTCTGGGGACCTGTTCTAATCTGGGAGCCCCATGGTGTTATGACATGCATAGGTTGTCTGGGGACCTGTTCTAACCTTGAAGCCCACAGGATTACGACCAGCATAGGTTGTCTGGGGATCTGTTCTAACCTTGAAGCCCAAGGGGTTGCGACCAGCATAGGTTGTCTGGGGACCTGTTCTAACCTTGAAGCCCCACTGGGTTACGACCAGCATAGGTTGTCTGGGGACCTGTTCCAACCTTGAAGCCCACAGGGTTACGACCAGCATAGGTTGTCTGGGGATCTGTTCTAACCTTGAAGCCCAAGGGGTTACGACCAGCATAGGTTGCTGGGGACCTGTTCTAACCTTGAAGCCCGACAGGGTTGCGACCAGCATAGGTTGCTGGAGACCTGTTCTAACCAGGAAGCCAGACAGGGTTACGACCAGCATAGGTTGTCTGGGGACCTGTTCTAACCTTGAAGCCCCACAGGGTTACGACCAGCATAGGTTGTCTGGGGACCTGTTCCAACCTTGAAGCCCAAGGGGTTACGACCAGCATAGGTTGTCTGGGGACCTGTTCTAACCTTGAAGCCCACTGGGTTATGATCAGCATGGGTTGTCTGGGGATCTGTTCTAACCTTGAAGCCCAAGGGGTTACGACCAGCACAGGTTGTCTGGGGACCTGTTCTAACCAGGAAGCCCCAAAGGGTTACGACCAGCATAGGTTTTCTGGGGACCTGTTCTAACCTTGAAGCCCCAAAGGGTTACGACCAGCATGGGTTGTCTGGGGACCTGTTCTAACCTGGAAGCCCAAGGGGTTACGACCAGCATTTGGATACAGCAGTAATGAGAATAGTAAAAAACATGTTCATACATGGGAGACGGGTCAGAAAAGGTCCTCAGTACCCATTACTTGTCTCAAGTGATGACTAAAATGTGGATCAGATGCACATAATGAGAGCTATCGCTGAAACTTGGGGGAAGACAAACTTTCGGTAATGGCAGAGCTATTGTGTCATGTTTCTCTCCCCATCACCAGTGCCTGGCTTGCTGCTCACACTATCAACCACTGGTTTGTCTGATTCAAGTTATTTCACAGGTTGCTATAGTATAACTAATACAATGATAATCTTGCTGACAGTCACTTTTGTTTGGGCTAAGAATCTAATAGATTTATGAAAACATGGATCAGTGGGAAAATGAGTCTCAAATGTTTAATATTAAAGAAACCACTTAGTATGTGTACTTAACTATGTTTCCTGAATGGAATAATTGTATTTCATATTTGTAAGGCTGGATGGTAGACTCTGAGAACATTATGTATTTCTAAGCTTTGGGAAATATTATGTTCCTTGAAGAAACATATTTTAATGGTGCTTTTTACTGAATGTAACATGTATAGTCACTGTGCCAATTTAGACACTTGCCCAAAGCCAGAGTCTAGTTAACTAACTTTCTTTCCATGAATGCATCATCCATTGTGTCAAAATTTGCTGTGCAGAGTTGCGTCCCTTGGGCATGCCAGAAACCTAGGATTGTGGGTTCGAATCCCAGTTTGCCCCAATTGTTTCTAGGCTTGTCAGCACCATATCCAGGCTCTTGGGCTTCACCGAAGTGGTAAACGTCTGAGACCTGCATCGCTTCGGGCTTTCCTCCAACATTAAGCTGACACGCCGTGATATAACTGGAATACTGTTTAAAGCGGCATTAAACCCAACTCACTCACTCACTCATTGTGTCAAAATGTCAAAATTGTTTGGGCAATCTCATGGAATATTGAGTTGGTTCATGTGTTCAAAACAGAAGTGTGTTCATTGGTATGGTACGCTGCCAGGGATAAAGTGACAAGTCCAACCTGAAGGTTATCTGGACACGCTCAGACATCGGGCAATGATCATGAATTAGGATTTTCTTACATCCCCCTGCATGCTATATTAATGTTGAAGTTACATAACAAAACAGAGTACATCATAGTGCTTTTGTATATATAATTGTATGTATCCTTTCTTTGACTGCATGACACTTTTTAATAGATGTCTTGGTAAATATGTAAATTACACAGACTGAAAGTGTTCAGTGGTATACAGAAAAACCAATGTACATGTCTCCTCTCTTTGTTTTGTAATATTATTATATCTCTTATCATTCATTGCATTTGGGGCAGTGGTGTAGCCTAGTGGTTAAAGTGTTCGCTCGTCACCCCGAACACCCAGGGTTGATTCCCCACATGGGTACAATGTGTGAAGCTCATTTCTTGTGTACCCTGCTTTGATGTTGCTGGAATATTGCTAGGGCCGAGTTAAACCACGGACCTATATATACAAGTCCATGGTAAAACCATACTCACCCACTCATTGTATTTCATTATGCATACAACTTTTGTCTTGTTATGTTGAGGGCTAGGTGATTACATTGAAGGGTTGAGGTTTTTGCAGCTATACTCACTGGGCTCAAGAAGTCTTGATGGCACTGTGGACAATAAGAGAAGGCAGTAACAATATAAACTAGTTTATACTTCCTCGGGCGCACGGGTGGGTTTCATCGCACATCAAGCTGACTCGCCGTGATGTAACTGGTATACTGTTCAAAGTGTTGTTAAACCCACCTCACTCACTCTCTCTCTACAGTGTCACACTTTCATCAGTGTTTAAAAGTGGCCAGATGAGCTGATTTTTTTTATGAAATACTTGTTGAAATTATTTGAATTTGCTTCATTAATTGTTGATTGCTGTGAATGACTAATGTGCTATTGCTTGTTGTTGTACAGTTGACTTGTGCTATCTGACACTGTTAAGTTGGTTGCTGTTCCAGTGCATGTATTCGTATCGCTCTCAGCACTTGTAACTATTATTTTTTTATAGATTTGTCTATGTTTTCTCAATTCGATTCATTAGCATTGTCTTTGTTGTTTAACGCTGCACTCAGCAAAATTCAAGATATAGATGACTAATCGAGTCTGGGGCTAACTTTAATTGGGTTAGTGAGATGTTAGTATGGACGACAACCCTTTTTGGAATTCTGTTTTTTGTCCCGTTGTTTCTGTAAAACTGTCAAATAACCCTGGATTTGGTCCACCCGGACCTTGGTCCACAAGACTATCTTAGCCTTATTATGAGCCTTATTATGTAAAGGTATGGGAGTTACGATGTCTATGTTAAGGTATGGGAGTTACGATCATTGTACGATGTCTATGTTAAGGTATGGGAGTTACGATGTCTATGTTAAGTTATGGTAGTTATGATGTCTTTGTTAAGGTATGGGAGTTACGATCATTGTACGATGTCTATGTTAAGGTATGGGAATTATGATCATTGTACGATGTCTATGTTAAGGTATGGGAGTTACGAAGTCTATGTTAAGGTATGTGAGTTACGATGTCTATGTTAAGGTATGGGAGTTACGATGTCTATGTTAAGGTATGGGAGTTACGATGTCTGTTAAGGTATGGGAGTTACGATGTCTATGTTAAGGTATGGGAGTTCAGTGTCTATGTTAAGGTATGGGAGTTACGATGTCTGTTAAGGTATGGGAGTTATGATGTCTATGTTAAGGTATGGGAGTTACGATCATTGTACGATGTCTATGTTAAGGTATGGGAATTACGATGTCTATGTTAAGGCATGGGAGTTATGATCATTGTACGATGTCTATGTTAAGGTATGGGAATTATGGTCATTGTACGATGTCTATGTTAAGGTATGGGAGTTACGATGTCTATGTTAAGGCATGGGAGTTATGATGTCTATGTTAAGGTATGGGAGATATGATGTCTATGATAAGGTATGGGAGATACGATGTCTATGTTAAGGTATGGGAATTATGATCATTGTACGATGTCTATGTTAAGGTATGGGAGTTACGATGTCTATGTTAAGGTATGGGAATTATGATCATTGTACGATGTCTATGTTAAGGTATGGGAATTATGGTCATTGTACGATGTCTATGTTAAGGTATGGGAGTTACGATGTCTATGTTATGGTATGGGAGTTATGATGTCTATGTTAAGGTATGGGAGTTACGATCATTGTACGATGTCTATGTTAAGGTATGGGAATTACGATGTCTATGTTAAGGTATGGGAATTATGATCATTGTACGATGTCTATGTTAAGGTATGGGAATTATGGTCATTGTACGATGTCTATGTTAAGGTATGGGAGTTACGATGTCTATGTTATGGTATGGGAGTTATGATGTCTATGTTAAGGTATGGGAGTTACGATCATTGTACGATGTCTATGTTAAGGTATGGGAATTACGATGTCTATGTTAAGGCATGGGAGTTACGATGTCTATGTTAAGGTATGGGAGATACGATGTCTATGATAAGGTATGGTAGTTACGATGTCTATGTTAAGGTATGGGAATTATGATCATTGTACGATGTCTATGTTAAGGTATGGGAATTATGGTCATTGTACGATGTCTATGATAAGGTATGGGAGTTACGATGTCTATGTTAAGGCATGGGAGTTATGATGTCTATGTTAAGGTATGGGAGATATGATGTCTATGATAAGGTATGGTAGTTACGATGTCTATGTTAAGGTATGGGAATTATGATCATTGTACGATGTCTATGTTAAGGTATGGGAATTATGGTCATTGTACGATGTCTATGTTAAGGTATGGGAGTTACGATGTCTATGTTATGGTATGGGAGTTATGATGTCTATGTTAAGGTATGGGAGTTACGATCATTGTACGATGTCTATGTTAAGGTATGGGAGTTACGATGTCTATGTTAAGGTATGGGAGATACGATGTCTATGATAAGGTATGGTAGTTACGATGTCTATGTTAAGGTATGGGAATTATGATCATTGTACGATGTCTATGTTAAGGTATGGGAATTATGGTCATTGTACGATGTCTATGTTAAGGTATGGTAGTTACGATGTCTATGTTATGGTATGGGAGTACCGATGTCTATGTTAAGGTATGGGAGATATGATGTCCATGTTAAGGTATGAGAATTATGATCATTGTACGATGTCTATGTTAAGGTATGGGAGTTATGATCATTGTACTATGTCTATGGTTAGGTATGGGAGTTACCATCGCAATTATGATGGCAGTGTTAAGGTATGGGGGTTTTGATCGATATTAGCTGCTGAGATCACCATGGAGAATGAGGCAGGTAGGGAAAAAAGTCGAAATTTCATCCCTGCAGATTACTGAGGAAGTATATCAAGTAGGATAGTGAAAAGGACGTTAAGAACGTGTAAATCTAGACAACTGGTAAAAACACATGTCATTGTTAACAATGTTAGTGGGAGATGTTAAACAGGGACACAATGATCACAATGAGACATGAGACAGGTAACTTGCTGTGCAAAGGTGCAGCCTTTTTCCCAGAACCCATATTATGATTCTCAGTCAGTCAGTACATACAAGTCTCGAGGGTTTCATCACAGCTGTAGACAGACGAGACCTGCATTACACAGGGTTTTCCTCCGAGATTAAGCGGACACTGATGTAACTGAAAAACTGTTCAAATCTGTGTCAACTCACTCTCTCACAAAGTTTTTGTCCATGATATTCATATGGCATGTTCGATTACTGGTTTGTCTTGTCCAGATTTGATTATTTTTCAGGATCCTGTGATAAAAAAATTCTAAAATACAGATTCTATCTATCGTCGTAGCGCTCTTCATGAAGGTGTCTTTCAGTTTAGGAAACAGGTGGAAATCACTTGGTGCCAGGTCTGGCGATTATGGAGGGTGAGAAAGCTTTTCGCACAGGTGTGAGAAGAGGCATTGTCATGAAACAGTAGAACTCCAGCAGTCAGCATTTCTTGCTGCTTTTCTTTCATTGAATCTCTCAGGCGATGAAGCAACTTAGTATAGCAGGCACTGGTATTTGACTTTTGACTTTATTTTTTAGTGTAGACTGAGCACACAATTTCATCAAAATATCCCCAACATATTCATGATCCCAAGGGGTGGTGGGTAGTCTAGTGGTTTAAGTGTTCGCTTGTCACGCCAAAGACCCGGGTTCTATTCCCCACATGGGTACAATGTGTGAAGCCCATTTCTGGTGTACTTAGTGTTTATCCATCAGTGATGACTTCAGACAAAACCAAATAACAGCCGTGTTGCCAGTAACATGCTTTTTTGATAAAGGTGGGTGGGTACCATGAAATAATGGATTTCTATTTGTTTGTCACCTCTAGTTTCCTTGTTACAGTGATATTCATACAGAAGTTCTCATTTGATTTTACGACCTGAAGATCCAGGGTAGAATAGATCTTCAGCAACCCATGCTCACTGTAAAAGGCGACTATGCTTTTCGTAAGAGGCGACTAATAGGATCGGGTGGTCAGGCTCTCTGAATTGGTTGTTGAATGTCATCGATCCCAAATGCGTGGATTGATGCTCATGATGTCAATCACTGGATTGTCTGGTCCAGACTCGATTATTTACAGACCGCCGTCATATAGCTGGAATATTGCTGAGTGTGGCGTTAAACAACAAACCAACAACAAACACACAATTGATTTTACAGAGTGAAATGTTTGGAAGATGGAGCTTTGAATTAGTTTAGATGCTATTGATGAAGTATATGTTTGATGGTCTTGTTTGATTTACAAATTTACCATGGCAACATTCCAAGTAACAAGACAGCTTCTGTTGCGTTATTTGGTCTTACAATATTTATGAATTTAATATTTGAGCTTTTTGTAACCCAAGTAAAGTGCAATATGTCATAAACATTTAAAAATCTGTGTTTCCCCTTTTTTCATTCTTGCATCTCTCCAGGACACAGTTAACTGTGCAGAGTTGCAAGCTTGGTGTTCCAGAATCCTATGAGCATGGGTTCGAATTCCAACACCCTTATGATGTTTTGATTCGTCCGCACCATGCTTGTGGGTTTTACCAAATTCTAAATAAGACAGCAATGTTATGAGTGAAATGTTTAGATGTGTGGGTTTCTACTAGTCATGGGGTTGACCCTCAGATTCACACTGTCACAATAGTGATTCTCATCTGCTGAAGATTCGGGTTGGAATAGGTCGGGTTTCTTGTTGTAAGAGGCAACTAACGGGATTGGGTGGTCAAGCTCGCTGACTTGGTCAGTGCATGTCATTGTATCCCATTTGCTCGGAACGATGCTCGTGATGTCAATCACTGGATTGTCTGGTCCAGACTCGATTATTTACACACTGACGTCATATAGCTGGAATATTGCTGAGTGCCACTTTTAACAAACAAATAAATAAACAAACAAACAAATCATCTGCTGAAGCTGAGCAACCTGAAATGCTGCTTAACAGGGCTCGGCATCCTGGATACCAGAAGAGGGTGGACACCCCAGGCACTCTCTTGACTCTGGTATGTGACAGCACCAGTAACAATACATGCAACCATGGAAACACTGTTGGGGATAGGTTTGGTTTCCTATATCCAAGAGAGGTTGGCCTCAGGAAAATGTTAGGTTTTGTCATTGTATGGCAGCAACCTTCTTGAACCATTTCTGTAGTGCAGAGGAACCAGCATTCACAGCACTGTGCCGTTTTAGTCCAATTCATATCAGCTTCTTGTGGAAGTGTGGGTTATTGTCTCCATGTGACTTAAATGGAATTTGTAAGATGTGACGAACCGGTACATATCGCCCGTGGCAGAGGTGCTGGGCTGGCCGCGTGGATCACTAAGCAGGAGTGTCCACAACTATGGCATGGTCATACTGTTGCCCGAATCTCCTACTGTCGCAACCCTTATCGCCCGAATGTCAGTCATACTGTCGCCCGAATATCATACTGAAGCAACACACATTGCTCGAACGTCATATTGTCGCCCGAATCTCATACTGAGGCAACACACATTGCCCGAACGTCATACTGTCGCCCGAATCTCATACTGAGGCAACACACATTGCTCGAACGTCATATTGTCGCCCGAATCCCATACTGAGGCAACACACATTGCCCGAACGTCATACTGTCGCCCGAATCTCATACTGAGGCAACACACATTGCCCGAACGTCGCACTGTCTTCCGAATCTCATACTGAGGCAACACACATTGCCCGAACGTCATACTGTCGTCCGAATCTCATACTGAGGCAACACACATGAAGACCCGTGAAGATCCGGGGTAAAATAGGTCTTCAGCAACCCTTGTTTGCAGTAAAAGGCGACTATACTTGCCGTAGGAGGCGACTAACGGATCGGGTGGTCAGGCTCGCAAGTCCTCGTATCCCAAATGCGTGGATCGATGCTCATGATGTCAATCACTGGATTATCTGGTCCAGACTCGATTATTTATAGACCGCATTCATATAGCTGGAATATTGCTGACTGCTTTTTGGAATACACAAGCATGAACTGCAATACCCCTGTAGGCCAGACTTTGGTAAAACTTGGTTCACGAATTCGCCGACTCCCCAAAATTGAAATGTGAATTTTAAAAAAATGAAAAGCGGTGGGTTTTTATATTTTTTATTCCGCTGACCAGAAATATGTATAATTAAAACCTGTTGATAATTCAGCTTAAAATATTGAAAAAAAAATATAACGAATTGCGAGAAGAAACAGAAAATAAATAAATTTGAACTTGGATTTTTTAATTTTTAATATTTTTTTCGACCTACCGATCTGAATATTTGTGCCAAAAATCACCACACCAAAACCAAAAATCTGGCTTTAGTGTATGTTAACAGTTTTGTCAAATTGTGCAGCCATAGGATGCGGAAACAGGCTGCTCTATGGCCTTTGGCCTTTTAGTGAACAATCAGAATTTTTAAGTCATCGAAATACCCTGTACTAAAAAAATAGAATATACTATAATATCAATGTGGGTAAACTAGCATATGATGTATTATTGATTGCTAAGGATTGTTAGATGGGGTTACTTTATATTTGTAATCCAAAGGATATTAAGATAATCCCACGACGAAAACTTTCAAAATTTCAAGATTTTGCACCAGAAAAGTATGGTACTACATACCTACATTGAAGACTCTCTCATACTTTATCTCCGCTAGCATTGGAAGGAATCTATACAACTAAAAATATGTTAAGGAACAAGCGATGATTTCATGTGACGAGAGTTAATCTATTATGGCCCTGACAGATGAACTATAGTCATATATAAAACATCGTTCACGTGACTATATCATTACACAACACAAACCTGTTTCTCGATACCAAATTGTATACCTAATTACAATTAACCATGAAAAATCTTTTCTCGAAATCGCCGATCATGTACGATCTGCATAGGCTGGTATTGGTCGTTTAGACTAACATTGTCCATGAAATCTTTTTGGAAACAATACATTTCTCCCCTCTCAGATGTTTAACATATGTTTTTCTCTGAATTTGGAATAGAGCAAACTAGACATGCTTATATATAAATCTAGATTTGTTTTCATTTTATATATCCTTTCACTGTGATATATATATATCACAGTGAAAGGATGCAATACAAATATTCCATTGCTGCCCGGATTATAATATAGGTAACGGAGTCAGTCGAGTACAGCCGAGTGCAGCCGAATGAGCTACGACTGACCACCAGGAAGCGGCACAAACACGTTAGTGATTATTATACTAGTGCTAGTTTTCGTGTAATTCCAGTAGGCTTGATTGAAGTACATGTAACCATACTCCATCTCAACCTCTTTTCGGTCGTCTTCTTTGTAATACTGCACGAGTTTCCCGGCCAGCGTATGGTTCCCGGTTGGGCCAAAGATGTCTGTCACACTTCCCAGGAATGTTGGCTGCTTCGCGGAGATAAAGCCTCGGCTGTAGTGGGGCTGTCTGGCCTGGTAGAACTTCACCCCCAAGTCAGAAAGTGCGTCGTATGCACGAATAGCGAACGTGCCGCAGTCATTAGCTTCAAACCATAGCTGTCCATCTGCAGCATGATAGAAGTAGATGATTATCACTACAGTGAGTTAAGAGGTGAGGTGAAATTGGGTTTAACGTCTCGTCAAAGATTATTGCGCTTATATAGCGACGTGCATGCACGTGTGGGTGTGGCTGCTTGTACTAACAGTTTGACATGAATACCCCACTCAGACACAGTATACTGACTCCGAGCCGATCAGTCTTGTTTGAGCCCCTTAATGCCGAGGGCCAGACAGGGTAACAACAAGTACCATCTTTTAACGTCTTTTGGTATGACGCGGTCGGGGATCAAACCCCGGACCTTCCGCTCTCCGGGCGGACGCTCTACCACTAGACCACGGAGGCGGTCCAGTGAGTCAAGAACGTCTGCAAGGGTCCCCGCTGTTTGTTCGGGTATGTGATATAAGATTAATATGGGAGTTATATTAATGCTATACGGTATTAATCGAACATACATTTACCACGTGCTACGTAGTATGACTGTGCAAGGAAATAAACCTTGATCCACGATCACATACCTTTACTATAATATGTGAGGTGAGGTGAAATTGGGTTTAACGTCGCGTCCAAGATTATTGCACTTATATAGCGACGTGCATGCACGTGTATGTGTGTGTGTGGCTGCTTGTACTAGTCCGGACTGATGCCGATTTATAGTGCTAGCTCACTGAGATACCATGCCGCAGTTTAACATGAATACCCCACTCAGACACAGTATACTGACTCCGAGCCGACCAGTCCTTGTTTTAGCCCCTTAATGCCGAGCGCCAGACAGGGTAACAACAAGTACAATCTTTTAACGTCTTTTTGTATGACGCGGCCCGGGATCGAACCCCGGACCTTCCGCTCTCCGGGCGGACGCTCTACCACAAGACCACGGAGGCGGTTACTATAATATGAGGGACGATGACATGTTATAACTGAAAAGGCAAACTGTAATTATAATGTTCTCCGTGGCGACGATACGCGTGGACTGTGGGGATTATGATTAGTGGAATGGGGGTGTTATTCCAATAAGGAGTGGATCAGTTTCAATTTTGTTTGAATTGTGAACTAATTGAAGTACTGTCCAAGCGGCGTTTCATTCACTTCATTCACTCGGTATCTAAATGCACATATACATCACACAACACGGAGCAACCGAAACAAGCAAGATGGCCGACCTGGAGACGTGGCAATGTAATACCCTTGTCCCATGACCTGAGTGTTGTTATCACGTCGCACCCAGTCGGCAAAGGAGTTGAACGTCGCACCTGTTGAAAAAACGACGTTAATGAAAACTGCTTGTTTGTTTGTTTGTTTAACGCCGCACTCTGCAATATTCCAGCTATATGGCGGCGGTCTGTAAATAATTGAGTCTGGATCAGACAGTCCAGTGATTGACATCATGAGCATTGATCCACGCAATTGGGATCGATGACATGCATCAACCGAGTCAGCGAGTCTGACCACCCGATCCCGATCGCCTCTTACGACAAGCATAGTCGCCTTTTACGGCAAGCATGCCATCACGAATTGAAGTTTAGGAAGCTATAGAAAAATTAAGCAATATCCAGCTTAAGGCTTTGGAGGCTATCGTGATCGTCAGAAATGTTTGAAGCTGTTAGTGATAAACACAATATGGTCAAGGTCACAAAGAAAGGTGTGTGAGGATTTACGCCGCCTTTAGCAATATTCCAGCAATATCACGGCGGGGGACACCAGAAATGGGCTTTACACATTGTACTCATGTCGGGAATGGAACCCGGGTCTTCGACGCTTTAACCACTAGGCTACCCGACCACCTCTCAAAGAAAGGTGAACTATCAGAAGAAGTAGGTACTGAAGCTCAAGATGATGTAAAGGACTATCTCAGAAAAAGGTCAGGTGCTACTACCACAACTGTTCAATTCTGAAAAGAAGTTGGACATGAAAACTGTTCCTGTAATTCTTGTCATTCAAACTCGGTCGGCCATCAGTCAGGTAGTCAATCATGAACCAGTTCACATAGTGAGGCAACATTTAGAAAGTTCTTACAATCGTAGGGCACCTACACTTTCACATTGTCATGATATTGGTAAGGACACGTGGAAGTAGTTGAAGCGTGTGTCTATCCCTGTCTTTACTGGAGATGCCAAATCATATGAAGCCTGGAAGGCTGCATTTATTGCTTGTATAGACCAAGCACCTGCCTACCCAAAATATAAGCGGCTTCAGTTGCGCCAGTATGTTAGTGGGGATGCAATGAAGGTCATTCAAGACTTAGGTCTCAGCTCTGCGGCCTATGGTGTATTGGAACGTAAATGTGGTGGCATGAGACGTCATATTGCTCTCCAAAAGGATGAAATATTATTGTGTCAAGCCAGTGCGACCTGGTAATGCAAAGGACTCTGAACGGTTTGCTGACATGCTGGATACAGTGGCTGTAAATCTGAGATAATCTAATAGGATAGAGGAGTTAGGTAATGGATCTTTGTATGTTTGGCTTCTGGAGAAAATGACAGAATCCATGATTAGTCAATACCACAGAAGAATCTCTACTTTATATACAGTAAACTACGGTTATAACGAACACGCTTATAACGAACTGGCGGATATAACGAATTGGTTTTTAGGTCATGCCATTTGCTGTATATATGCTGTATATATGCTTATAACGAATTACGGTTATAACGAACAAGAATTTGTGGCCCCTTTGAGTTCGCTATAACCGTAGTTTACTGTAATAATAAAGTAGTTAACTAGCGATTGCACAAAACAAAATGTTCACACAACGGAGGCCCGAGTACACTGAGTAACCCATTCATATATTAATAATTGCCAGATATGAGAACCTAACTTCAAAGTTTCAACATACTTCGGCAGTACATGAGAGTAAAAGATCAACGTTTAGTCAAATTAAACAATAAAACATAACCTTGGTTAATGACATCACCACAGCTGAGTACTTACTGCACATCACATTACATACGATACAGAAAGGCAGAAATGACTGAGCAGTGCGCAAACATTCAAATATGTAATATGGCTGCAGTGGCTGCCATCTTTAAGATCGAATAGGAATTCTGATCGCATATTTTATTGCTAGGATGATATGCACGTAATTTCAGCCTTAGAGTGGTTACTGATGTTCACATGGAAACTATATTAACGGATGCATGTTCAACCTCATTAAGGGGCGGTCGGGTAGCCTAGTGGTTAAAGCGTTCGATCGTCACGCCGAAGACCCGGGTTCGATTCCCGACATGGGTACAATGTGTGAAGCCACTCACTCACTCACTCAACATCATAAATGGAGCGGCAACTGATGTCCACAGAGAAACTATGTAACTGGATGCATGTTCAACGTCATAAATGGAGCGGCAACTTATGTCCACAGTGAGACTATATAACTGGATGCATGTTAAACATTATAAAAGGAGCGGTTTCTGATGTCCACAGAGAAACTATGTTACTGGATGCATGTTCAACCTCATAAATGGAGCGGCAACTGATGTCTACAGAGAAACTATATAACCGGATGCATGTTAAACATAATAAATGGAGCGGTTTCTGATGTCCACAGAGAAACTATGTAACTGGATGCATGTTCAACCTCATAAATGGAGCGGTTTCTGATGTCCACAGAGAAACTATAAAAACAGATGCATGTGTACGGCACATGTCATTAGCAGGGTATGAAATAAGAGCATACTCAATAAGGCTGTCGTCCTAATTTTTTTAACATTATTCATTTTTGTTTCCTATTTTTTCAATATTTTTTTCTCAAACGAAAAAATACAAGACCCAGCTTGCTACCCACCGAGGTACCCCACATTTATAGTGGAAAAAAGAAAAAAATGGGGATCGGATGGGCAAAATGTTTCACGTGATTTATTTGGTGTAATTGTACCCGACAGGTTGAAGATAACACATTTTGTATTTGCATTTTTCATTCACTCAGCCAACAGAAAGTTTATCCGGTCCTTTTATCCCATGTTATATTTGGGATAACACTTTCTGATTAAAGTACAAATTGTAGTAATGTTTATTACTGTTAAAGTACATCCGGGATTCGAACCAACATACCCACTCACCAAATCGCCAGTACACAAAGTCGGCGATCTAACCCTCTCAACCAGCGAGGCTTCCACTAAAATGGACCCCTCTGACAAGAGTAATTTGGCACGACTCCCATGGGTAATCGGCACGGCTCCCATGGGCGAAAGCTATAAAGTGTACCTGATATCGTAGCCACGAGAAAACGCTCCCCCGCCTTCAGTCGGGGTACGACGTTGTCCATGAAACAGGACCCACCCTGGTTGCACCAGAGGAGAGAGTCATCGTCCAGAACCTTTGGCTTCATGCAGTTCGCTAACTTGAAGAACGAATACCACTCAAGCGTGTAGTTCTTGCCGGTGTTCAAGTTACTGATGTAGAGTGACGCATGGGTCAGATTCTGAAAAAGATATGTTGGTAAAACAAAACAATAATCACTAAGGGAGCGGTTCTAAAGCTCGATGATGTATTCTTTACGCTTTCAGAACACCTCCTAAAAACACACTTGCGTGACTAATGACATCCTCAAGTGATTTTCAGAAAGAAAAGCATATAGATCATGGTACATAAATATAGTAAACTACGGTTATAACGAACACGCTTATAACGAACTGACGGATATAACGAACTTACTTTTTGGTCCCGACTACTTGCTGTAGTCATGCTGTATATGTACTTATAACGAACTACGGTTATAACGAACTACAATTAGTAGTCCCTTTGAGTTCGTTATAACCGTAGTTTACTGTACTGGTAAAAACACATCACAAGACCAACACGCCACACATGGGAGGTGTTTTTAGCTTGCAACAACTGTCTTACATATTATCTAATCTTACCTGCGATAGTTATGTCGTTCATTTTCAGGGTACAGACAATTAGAACAGTTGTTTTAAAACAGAGAACGCTAAAAGTTGATATTACAGACCTGTTAACATCAGCCCCAAAATAAGATTCGTATCCGAAATCGACATCGCAATTAACCAGGATACGGAGCCTGGCCACCACGCCAGACCCTGGCCGTGAAACCATTCAATGTGCAAACAGCAAGTAAAGATGAGTTGGTGTATAATGCGAACATTCAGAGTTTACTATGATGAACTTTGCAAGCTAGTGTAATTATATAACGAGAGAATAAAAGCGATAGAAGTGGCATCAAGTATGCCACCAGGAGCCAAGTGATGTGATGTGATGTTTGTTGTTTAACGCCGCACTCACTAATATTCCAGCTATGTGACAGCGGTCTGTAAATAAGCGAGTCTGTACCAGACAATCCAGTGATTGATATCATAAACATCAATCCACGCAACTGAGATGCGATGGTATAGTCCACCCGATCCCGTTAGTCGCCTCTTGCGACAAGCATAATCGCCTTTTACGGCAAGCTTCGGTTGCTGAAGACCTATTCACGGGTCAAAGCCATTTAAAATAGATGTTGAAAGATTATTTTTGTGTAAGATGTATGGCAATTGTTTGAAGAAAGTTTGGGAGTCGGTCTTCGTTCAGAGAAAAATAATGTTGTAGGCAGGACTGCAAAGCGAACCTTCATTACAATGATATACATGCAGAGTAAATAGCGCAAATGATTTTTTTTAATATGGCTGCCACGGAACAGAAATATGTGCAACGATTAAGAGAAATCATTTGATATGGTTTCAGGAGATGCACAATCATAAGAGGGAGACGCGCCCTGTTCTAGACTGGTTTTCCTGCCCTGGAGCGCTTGCGCTACTAGCCAGCGGCCGCCAGGAAACAAAACACAGTGGACTGTCCAGCTCTATCCATCCTCTTTCCCCATAAATCTCGCTGCGGTGAAACGTTGACCCATTTCCGTGTTGCGGTTCTGTCTGTCGAGAGGGAAGGGGACCTGCCTACAGAATACCGCTTTGCGGGAAACGTTGACTCAGTTTCCGTGTAGCAAGATATAAGCATGTTTGGGCAGCGTGAATAATTGACGTGTCAGGCTATAGGAGTAAACATATTAGCAATAGGGAGATAACTCTCATAGAGATGTATGGTTGACGGATAAAAAGCAAATACGCATTCACAACGTTGCGGGTTTCAATTTTAACAATATCTGAATGTCTCCACTGATCTCGTTCATTACGCAATGAAACTACAAGACTGTAACTATTACTTTGAAAAGATTAATTATGAAAAAATAGTAATAACTTTACCACTATTAATTAAACAATGTCAATATTATCCTGTATACCACTATGATTGTGTCATCTTAATACCCCTTAACTTGTTCCTTGAAAACAATAACAGATGTTTCAGGAAGTCATTGTTATGGAAACATATTACAAGTTTTATCAATCTCATAAAATCAGATCTTAGTTTTCGCTACCTTTAAACAAAGATCTGAAGACATCCCATTACGGGTAAACCAGAACGACCTTTCATCTGACCAATCATAGCATCGCTTAGCAGATAATGAAAGTGACAGTTGGAATGTGTTTTTGTATCGTGCAACCTCGAAAAACACACACAGGGTATCCCGAACGACAGTTATGGACTTTATGTCTGTATTCACACAATACAGACCATCTATTAGCCATTCCAGAATGGTCTTTTGTTCAGTTTTTAAATTTTCAATCGGGTATATGTTTCGAGGCGTAGTCGCCAGTTTGAAACTCGGGCCGTAAAGCTCGATTAAGCTGCCTTCTGATTGGCTATTGCCGACTTCTTGTTAGTTATTCCACTGGTCGGTCAAAGTTCGCGAAAGTTCGGTCTGACGTGAGCCGTACTGGGATGTCCTCAGATCTTTGTTTAGCGGTAGCGAGAACTGTGATCTGACTTTTAATGAGATTGTAATTTTGTTTTTAAAATATGTTTTATTTCTTCTTTTGTATTTCATAAATATTTAAACTGAGATGTATCATATGATGATTGCTTATTCTGGAGATAGCACATGCAAATTACAATTGGTGTTACCTTCTGGGTTACACGTGTGCGCTTTATGACAGAACAGGTACTTGCATCAATAGGTAGGTATGCTACAAAGTGTCTCTGCCGTGTTGATACTCTGGATCAAAGTTATTTTGTAAGATACTTACACGTGCCGCAGGTGAAGGCAATAGTTCCGAATCAGAATGGTAGATCTCGACTTTGTCCGTTTCGCTAAAAGTTGGGATACCTGCAGTTCCTCCAGGACAGAAAGGCCTGTCACCTACACAACATCTGGGGTCAGGGTCGGGGCGAGCTGGGAGGGGCCTGCAATCACAAGTACTTCTCTGAACAATTGACCCGTGAAGATCCGGGGTAGAAAAGGTCTTCAGCAACCAATGCGTTGTAAAAGGCGACTATGTTTGTAAAAGGCGACTAACGGGATCGGGTGGTCAGGCTCGCTGACTTGGTTGATGCATGTCATCGTATCTCAATAGCGTGGATCGATGCTCATGATGTCAATCACTGGATTGTCTAGTCCACACTCGATTATTGACAGACCGCCGTCATAGAGCTGCAATATTGCAGAGTGCGGCGTTAAACAACAAACAAACAAACAAACTAAAGTTAAGGCGTTCGCTCGTCATGTGTTTAGGTCCCCACATGGGTTAATGGTCTAAGAAAACTTGTTTATTTGTTGTTGAATGCCGTACTGAGTAATATTCCAGTTATATCATGGCGGTCTGTAATAATCGAGGATGGACTAGACAATCCAGTGATTGATAACATGAGTGTGTGTGTGTGTGTGTGTGTGTGTGTGTGTGTGTGTGTGTGTGTGTGTGTGTGTGTGTGTGTGTGTGTGAGATATATATATACAGCAACGGTTACCAGTCTCAACCACGTCATTTACTTTGACCTCTTAACTAATTAACTAATTAATTTCCTTGTCGGAACACAGACCCACACGGTGTATTACTCCATGCATTGAAGATTATAGTTAATATTTCAGATAAATCACCGTGTTTTCTTCTATTGACATGATTTCAGTCATATAGTCTTCTGGTGATTGACTGTGCAGAGTTATGCTTTTAGTCATGCCAGGATCCACTGGTTCGAATCCCATAATGACACAGATTCAATTGTGTGTCAGAATCCTAAGACCTGCATCGCTTCGAGCTTTGCACCCGAATCAAGCTGACACACCGTGTCATAACTTAAATTTATAGCTAAAATGGATAGAATTATCATTAAACCGCCCGCATGTTATCAGAAATGAGCGGGCCACTGTAACTTGATAATGCCCTCATATTGCTTGATGACGGGCCTTTATCACGCCCGTTTTTTGTTGACGTCATGTGGATAGGGAAAGGTGACGTCACGTTCAATAGTGACGTCATCTGGTTTGTTCTATGACGTTTCCATATTTGTAAAAATGGGTCAGTGAGTGAGTTGGATTTAACGCCGCTTTTAACAGTATTACAGTAATATCGCGCCGTGTCAGCTTAATGTGGGAGGAAAGCCCGAAGTGATGCAGGTCTCAGACGTTTAGCACTTTGGTGAAACCCACGAGCACGGGTATGGTGCTGACAAACCTAGAAACATAATCATAATAATAAAAATAGCGTTACGAGGGCAATCATATCGGGGTTCATAGAAAACATATATGTGCCCTGGGGTCATATCACGTCACAAGACAACAGTGACATTGTTGACGTCCTCCGAAACTTATTGTGATGTGAGGTTGGAATGACGTCACACAAGAAACGACGTCATAGATGAAGATTGTTGACGTCATTCGACAAATTGTGGTTCCGCTGCTGTTGCGATATGCTGACCTTATAGATAAACACTAAAATTTGTCTCTGTATGTAGATATCTTCTTCGGTAATAAATTGAACATTTTATTCAAGGATTGACTGTGTATTTATTTCGGTTCATTGAGGTATGAATCGAAAAGCCGATGTGCAAACTTTTGTAAGAATCCGCTACAAAACGTTGCACATCGGTTTTTCGATTCATACTTCAATGAACCGAAAAAAATATACAGTCAATGCTTATAATTAAATTCGACAACGTAAAACTTGTTTTATCTACAATAGTTTAACCCAAAACAGTTGCATATATCAAAACAGACAAAAATGACGACATTGATAAACATTCCAGGTGTAGGAATACATACAGTTGCGTGACATGAATCAGGTGATCGTTTAATTTATGGACATAACTTGACACGCCTACACAGTCAGTAGCCAATCAACGGAGAGTGGGATTAAAACAAAGTTCATTGGACCTGTCAAATAAGGCAAGAGGCGAAAAGAACTGCAACAGTCAGACTGTAACGAAGCGGAAGAAATATGTCCGAGAAAAGGCGGCTGTTTCAAATAACATGGTCATTGACTGCGTGATTCAAACATTACTTCCCTGATTACGGTGAAACACAGTTGGAGAAATGCTAGTTAGAAATGAAACCCGAAGACATGAAAGTTGAACCGAGGCGATGAACACAACGATGAACACAACGAAAATTTGATTATTATATCCTTAAGTGTGAAAGACTTCCCGAAGTTGAGAAAAGTGATATTTTCATTGCAGTGAACATAACTACACAAAAAGAATATAATAAATAGGATATTCCATGTGTCGAGTGAAATATCTTTTTCTCTCATCGAGTGACGCGGGGAAAGGAGATATTTTCACGAGTGCCGTAGAGATGTCACGAGATGAGAGAAACGTGATATTTTACTCGACACTTGGAATATCCTCTCTATATTCGTGTTCATGTCATACTATGTTTACGACGCTCGTGCCTAAATGCCGGTATTTCCTTCGCTCTCGATTGGGGGAAATACCCGAATTTAGACACTCATGTCGTAAACATAGTATGAAATGAACACTCATATAATATCCTCTATATATTGTTCAAAGCGTTTAAGATATTTATAACAGAAAGAAACTTACGCATTTCTCATCGGCCATTCCGTTCCACTTGCAAGACAGAACCCAACACAAAACAAACACAGTGAAACAAACTCCATGATTCGAACGTTCGGATATTGGTGCAAAGTATATATGCGGTTCAGAAATTAATAAAATAAAGACCCGCTGAGCGGACATGTAGTTTCCAATAAGGGGGAAATAATATTTATATCAAATTGATTTCTAACTAATTATTTTAGTATATACATGTATAAAGGGGCATTCACACGGTACAACTAGTTGTATACAATTTGTTGTATGCAATAGGTTGTACGAACTGAAGTTGTATACAACTCGGCATTCACACAGCGGCTAGTTGCATACAACACGGATCTCGCGAGATTTCTGACCCAAAGCTTGTGATTACCGCTCGAATCCTGGTTGCCGAGTTAATTTTCAGACGCATAGTTTTGAAAAATCAACGCTGTGCGAGAATTGCGGTCACGTGGTACTGGGCCAACCTCTGACTTAACGGAGTTGTATATTATTGAATTTTTAACCCCCCAGACTGGTTTGAAAAGCAAAAAAGTGCTAAATGCTTTCAAGTCTCTGTTTTGCTGACGAAAAAGCCCCTAAAACATGTAACCACATTTGATCGTACATAGTCGGCCAATCTTTAGATATCTTGTTCCGCTAATCAAACGATAAAATCCATACATAAAACAAATAGTTTTGTCCACACTTGTGTATACATTAATAAAAATATGATGTGACAAGTTTCCTTCGTGAAAACCTTTACTATTAACTTAAGAAATGATCGAAGTGGCTATTTTATTTAACCTATTTATATACATTTACCATAATGAATATTTGGCGATTCTCCAAAGAAAATATGTATATGCTTCAGTGTGTTACATTTACATAGCATCTTATAGGACGATGAATGTCAATTTCTATGTTCAAACAAACAGCTGATTACTAAGCGTTTCATTAATTCTATGGCATTTTAGATGATATGAGTAACAGTACAACATACATGTACCCATTTTGCAGGAGTGCATTTTTTAAAGGGTAAAAATATATTAAAGAGACATTCAAATAATAATTCAAGATTGAAACAGTAAACTACTTCATGAAATGAATGCATTGTGTCACCCGCACCTCAAAGAAAATAACAAATATATACAACGATGTTGACAGATACTAATATGACATCACTACCGGTAACCTCCCGTCACAACATTGCGAGTTAACTAATAGCAGTGCGCAGAATGTTTAGAGTAGGGTTTACCGTGATGCAAGGATCGCATATATACATCAAGGAGTCATGTAAGTTAGTAATCAGAATCAATCTGAAATCAACATCTTTTATTTGTTTTTATGTTTCCATTCTAGCCTTGATACTATGTGGCAAGGCAGACCAACGACGCCGCCAGTGTGCGTGGTTTTGCGTCAATCATAGCGTCACGTGGAACGATTTCTGTTGACTTTTCCAATTTTCCAAGTATCAAATTATTTATTCCTCGATTATTGCAACGATTATCGACCCATGCATATTCGTAATGATCTCAGCTAATGCATGCACCAAATTGACGACTGGATCTCTCGGATAGTAGAAAATGTTACAGTTAGTAAAACTATAAAACTAGAAATTTGCTTTGTTTACATTTTCAAACGAGATTTCAGAGCACAGGGTTTGGTTGCACACGTGAATATTTTGGTTGATTTCATTTGGACCGTTTGTATAAGTGACTTAGACAATGTGTCAATCGATTGGTTTATTTCACGATAAAACATCATGACGTCATTTCTGGTGATTCGGATATGCGCCCGCAACTTGATGACGTCATATATTGGACGACGTTATGTTTGAGAGGGAAGTGTCTAGTAAGTTGTTCCCAATTAGAATATAGCTGGGCTACGCAGATAAACGCAATGACCGAACGATCGCAAAAGTGGAGAGATATGACAATCGATATATTAGGAGAAAAGTTAATGATAATAGTGAGTCTCAATGCTGATTTGTCAGTTGAAGTCGTATGACGTCACAGTGATGCAATGTTGAGAACATACGATATGACGTCATCCACGGTTCAAAACGTCATAAATCGATTACATTAGGGGTGCGTTGCAAAGCGCCAATCGCTTGTAAGCGATGTACAGAGATTCGCCTTACAACAGTGCGCCAACTTTCAGCCGCTTGCAAGCGAAACAATCGCTGACTGAGGTCGCTTCGTTCTCAAACCAAAATGGCGGCTTACTTTGACAGCGGAACAAGGAATTCTTGACTGGATCAACGAGAAAATGAGCAAAGGTAGCTAACACCCCATCATCCTCAGTCTGCTCCACATCTTCAAAGTAGTCATTAATTTCATCAGCTCGTCATCGAGCCTCATCTATTACGTTCTTCATTACGCGGATGGTCAGATTCGCTGACATGGTTGATGCATGTCACCGTATCCCAATTACGTGGATAGATGCTCATGATGTCAATCACTGGATTGTCTGGTCCATACTCGATTATTTACAAACCGCCGTCATATAGCTGGAAGATTGCTGAGTGCGGCGTTAAACATCAAACAAACGTCAAGGCAACCAAGCGGTAGTTGTGCCGCCATTTTGGAAGAGTGCGCAAGCGCTTCGAACTGATGCAGACCCCGGATTGAGCGATGAATTTGCTTTCTCAAAGCGATTCGTGGCTTGCAACGCGCCCTAGGTGACTTCCGTGAGTGAGTGAGTGAGTATGGTTTTACGCCGCTTTTAGCAATATTCCAGTAATATCACGGCGGGGGACACCAGAAATGGGCTTCACACATTGTACCCATACCGGGAATCGAACCTGGGTCTTCGGCGTGACGAGCGAACGCTTAACCACTAGGCTACCCGACCGCCCCAGGTGACTTCCGTGAAATTTCTTTGAAGGGTTGACATTTCATACGTTTTTCTGCGTTTTCTTCCTTCTATAAGTGCTATTGAGTAATATATACTAGACCCGTGAAGATCCGGGATAGATCGATGCTTATGATGTCAATCACTGGATTGTGTCTTGTCCAGACTTTATTATTTACAGACTGCCGTCATATAGCTGGAATATTATTGAGTGTGGTGTTAAAAACAAACAAAACAAAAAAACAAAGAATAATCTTTTCGAATTTCAGTATTACGGATTAGCTGTCCCCCGTGAATGGATGCTGTAACATCCTCGCCTGTAGCTAGGGACTACTCATTCACTCGGGTTACATCCGTAATTCCCCTTAGCTCGTTGGCTATTCCTTAATAGTCTATGGCAAGCCATTTTAATATACTTTGCAAAACATGAAATGCAAAACGGATATTTTGGGCCATAAAAGAAAAATTAGCGGGCCAAGAGGTGCAAAATGAAGAGGGTTATTGTGTTATAGTGTCAGTGACAAATTTCCCTGATCAAAATGATGATCACAACAAGGACTTGCAAACCATTAATCGGGAAACACGTACGATTGGGAAAAAATCTGCGTCAATCGAACAGTGACAGTTCAACAACATGCCAAGATTAACAGAAGTGCAAAGAAACATTGTCATAGGCCGCTTGCAGGCAGGGGAGTCCCGATCAACTGTAGCCAGGGTTTTCAATGTAGCGCCAAGCACCATCAGAAGGCTATGGGATCGGTTTCAACAGCATGGGTCAACACGTGATCGGCCAAGGTCGGGACGACCAAGATAAAATACCCCCGCCCAAGACCGCTACATCCAACTGTGCCATCTACGTGAAAGGACAATCACATCCATCTCAACCGCATCCCAAATACCCGGACTGTGCAGAATCTCAGACCGTTCGAAACAGTGAGCAGCAGGTCTACGGACAAGACGTCCTGTTCGACGCGTCATATTGAGTCGACAACACCGTCAACAACGACTTCATTGGTGTCGTCAACACAGGGCCTGGCTTCAACTGCGATGGAGAGATGTCTAGGTCAGCGACGAATCAAGATTTCTCCTCCGTGGAGGGGATGGAAGAGCACGGGTCCACAGACGTCGGGAGAACGTTACACCGGAAATTGCGTACAGGAAGTTGACAGGTTTGGCGAGGGTGACGGTATGATGTGGCTGGCTATCTCTCATCATGGTAGGACAGGTTTGGTCCATATCCAGGGCAATCTTACGGCTCAGCGATACATCAACGAAATTCTCCAACCACACATCCTCAAGTGCAGTATAAGGGCAAAGGTGTATTCAAGCAGGACAGCGCGGATCACAAGAGCCTGTCTTTGCAACAACGTTCATGTTCTCCCCTGTCCCTCCAGATCCCCGGATTTGAATACGATCGAACACCATTGGGATGAATTGGATAGACGGCTACGCCGACGTTAACCACAACTCCGGACGTTGCAGCAGTTGGCTTTTGCGTTGCAGGCCGAGGTGGCTACCATTCCCCAGGATGTGGTTCGCATCTTCGTCTCTTCCATGGGCAGGAGATGTCAGGCCACTGTCGATTCCTACGGTGGACATACGCGTTATTGATGGCAGCTGACCTTCAACTTGGACTTTTCCTATGTACCGATAACTGAGATGACGACAATCACCAAGTGTTCTCTCCACAACATTTTGGCTCAATACCTTGGACAGTTCCTCGTATAAATGTATTTTCCTACCTCACACAAATCTGGCTTTGCGTTTCTTTTTTTTGAAGAGTAATATATTTAATTATTTTTAAAAATCGAGATTTCAACGCGACTTTTCTCAAATTCAGTTAGATATATTTCGAATTAAATTCGAGATGTCTCAAATTCAATTAATTTTATCTGTAAATTCGATTCGGATAAATTTAAATTAAGGATTGACTGTGTATTTTATCGATTCATACCTCAATGAACCGAAAGCAATGCAAAGTCAATGCTTATAATTAAATTCGACTTCGAAAACATGTTTTATCTACAATAGTTTAACCCAAAACAGTTGTATATGTGAAAGCAGACAAAAATTACGACAATGAAAAAGATTCCAGGTGTAGGAATACATACTGTGGCGTGACATGAATCAGGTGATTGTTTAATCACGCCTACACAGTCAGTAGCCAATAAACGGAGAGTAGGATCAAAACAATAGGACATAGGTCATAGGACCTGTCAAACAAGG